ACATATTATAGATAAATTGCTCCCAGACATAACAAATGATCTTGCTTATCACACAATTATTTCTTCTGAATTTACCTATCTAATAACCCTTAAAGTGCTTAGTGACCCTGACTGCTAAGCTAGAGGTCGTCTAGCTTAGCAGTCAGGGTCACTAAGCACTTGACCAACGGACCAGTCAATGATTGAATATTAAGTTCATCCAGACTCAGAACAGATGTGAATCTCAATAGAAATGATCTCGGTTTTATTTTTAAAGTTTCTTATGTTCGACAATAGTGGCTGTCGATTACTTTCATTCTTAATAACTAATTTTGCAGTTGAAGTTGGGCAGAGATGATCCTATGATCGCACTCATCTTCCGAAGGTTATCTGGCAATTTTCTGTAATTCCCTAAACTTTATGAGATAACAGTCGTGAATTACCAAGCGGGTCGTTGAACACGACCTTAATATAATTATACCAACTCTTTTAGTTCGATGCAATATCTTATACCTATGTCCAAAAGAGAAAACGATTTAGTTTGTTAAATACCTTACTTTCGCTTTAGTTTAACTGCCGAAGGTCTCCTCCATGGAGCACCATCTATCCCGGGTAGTGGGTAGTCCTCAAAACCCAATATTCTTTAGATGATAACTGAAACCTGATTGACGATACCTGAATTTCAACGTGAACCTCATTCAGAAACAACTTCTGTAAACCTGACAGTATACAGCGACTGCGCTAGAATTAATTGTAAAACAAATTCAAAACAATAATACAACAAAAACACAAAAGCTATCTTAAACTTTTTCAATAAAACCTACATTATGAGCACAGTTAGATCCTTCTGCTTAGAAAAAAAGAATAATGAATCGTTCTACCGTCCTTGAATCATCACCTCTATACAGACTCGGTTTATTGAACGCTGTTACTTTTGTTTCCAAGATACTGTTGTCTACTATCAGTGCACATGATCAGAGGGGCGCGGGCGGTGGTCTTGTTAGTCAACTCAATTATTGCACAATATAAAGTTAGTTGGTTTGTATTACTGTAATGCTATTATTGTCCCCGCATTATCCTTCAATCTATTATTACGCTGTCATTAGACATTGTATACAATCCGATAACCACAAATTTTCAGAATTTACTTTATCAATCCTTTTTATAAAAAGTGTATGTGCGTTCTTCCTTGTACGTACTTAATACACATATTTCTAAAAAAAACTCAATGCCAATATATGTAGGTTAAGAATTTTAAGAGTAGTGTTGTATTATTGAATATATGTAAATAATTGATTATGTTTACGGGAATTAATGCGCTCACGGTATTAATTAGATACCTTTGGATTGCTTGGCCGTGGTCACAGTCAGTCAGTCTGTGACTACTTTGCTGTGCGTTAATTCCCGTTATTTATATATTATGGAACGCAATAGAATTTAAATGCCCGATAAGTATTTTGATCTGGAATTTGAATATAACTTTAATCTCTATAGATTGAGTAAAAATAATAGTCAGACGAATCTCGTTTCTTTGGACGCCTTAGTTTTATCTTCTATACTTTACTATGTTATTTAGCAAAATTAAATAATTTTATATTGGATATATCACCTATGATGATAAAATTGATCTCACCTATATAACATATTTCTAAAAATAAAGGTCGTCAATTTTTTTTTATTACGATTAGCAACAAGGCTTTAGAATATGACATAAACACATAGCTACTCAAAAACAAAGACGATGCTGGTGCAGACTTCTATTTTCCCAATTATCGACTATAGTGATGTTTGTTACCTGAATGCAGACCTGCTCAATAAATTAGTCTGACTCAACTATTGCATTCGGTCAAATTCAACTTGCGAAAGTATGATTATGCATACGCTTATCGTAGTCAACTGTCATGGTTAACTATAGGACAGCGCCGGCGCTGACCATGTTGCACTCCTTTTTCCACTCAAGGTGAGTGGAACTTACTTACCTAACATTCCACTTGCAATACCTCTGCTCTAACCATGAAAGAAACCTTCGCGCGCTGATAATCTCCTCCTTCCTTGTCCTTCACATTATTTCCGAATCGTTCACTGTCCAAGTTGTAAATCATTGGAACGCCCTCCCTTTCGAGATCAGGACGTCCACCAACCGATCAACCTTCAACATTAGAGTACTCAAGCTCTATGGAGACCTGTTGACGGATTCATCTGAATAATATCTGAATAAGTATAAATTATATAGATATATATAAGAATGTATACCGTATATGTATTGACTGGAAGAAAATTCCTATGGCATCTGCATTATGCGATGTATTTGCAGAAGTATGAAAAAAATATCGAACACAAAGGTGCCTGAAAATAAAAAGCGCCTCCACAGGAATAAAAATCCGAAGCGCCCAATCGGCCCCTCAGTCAAGTAGGTTTTGCAAATCATTACATATCTCATCAATCTTCTTAACTTTGAGAGGGAAAATCATGACAAAATTGGCCTAATCTTGAAATACCAGCATTTCATTAGCTGCCCTAGCTGCTCTAGATAGGCCCAAATCAGAAATTACTAAACTAGTACTAAACTAATATTGTGAAATTGATATGGTTCACGGACCAAATATAGGTAGAGTATCGTTATGAGCATTTACATTAGGTACAATTTAGAACAACATAGTAACTAAACTATAAAGTATATTGCGATTCATTATCACTGTTCTAGTAATCCCATGAAGGAATTACGAGGCGCAAGAAGGAGCATATAATTCTCTAAACGTGAGTTTCGTTTTCGTTGTGTATGAGTCTATTGGCTATTTGGTCAATAGAAAACCTTCAATTTTGTATTGATAAACGAACGTATGTGACTACTACAGTAGAGCAGATTTTTAACGATGATTTGATGCCTAAGGCAGGAGGTGCACAGTTGAACTAAACAGTAGGACTTATCCTAATAATTAAAGTCGGATCTTATCTAAGATAATGATATTATAACTTTGATAAGATCTTACTTTGATTTAGATCTTATCAATATTATCCTTGATACGGTATTGAGCTGTTGATTACGACCGGAAATTTATCAAGATAACAGTAAAGATGCCTTGATATGACTCTATGTACACAATTGAATTCTATTTCATTCTTTATATTTCTTTATACAAACGAGCCGAAGAGTATAATTCAGTTTCAGTACATTCGTATATTTTTAATTGTTCTTGAAATAATTTCTTTAATTGGATTCAACAATATTCTGATAGCCTTCCTGATCTATCTGGCCTTATACTGCTCTTCCTAGAACAGTATACTAATTTATTTAATAGTTATATATTCAGTGTTTAATGTCAAAATAAATTCATTCCTTATTACTTTAATTAAGAGCCATTCTAATACAATTACGGCGTAGAAAATAGTATTGTTTATAAGTTTTATCGTCTATCCACATATATTTCACATGTTAAGTAATCATCGATAGTACATGTTATGAATATATTAGACTTTCTCACGGTTGTTTTAAAAACATCATTGTCTTTTTTTAATAGTAGTGTGAATTTTCCTTAGGAATTACTTTCTAATAAAAGTTCACACAAAACATGTCTTATAAAATAGACTTTCCCGATCGAATTGCCTCTCGCTGATACTCGTAGATAGCGCGATGATTGAACACCACCACACCACAGATGGTTGAACACCAAAACAACATGGTAGAGAGAAAGCTCTCATAGTCTGTTCGTTTCTATCTCAGACACCAAGTCTATTGCCTAAACCACATGGTTTAGGCAATAGACTTGGTAGGTATAGCATGGCTAGGAATTCTCTGACAATTCTCGACTAAATTCTTTCTATGACATTATTAACCCTTATCATTGTTCTGAACTGTTAGGAATGCAGAGACACAGTGTTTATCACACGAGTAACTCGTAGAAAAGAGAAATGCTCTTCCGGGTATTACGAAGGCTGTTATAAATAATAACTTTTTTAAGTCTAAAATTAAAAAAAAATGGTAATCATAAGACTTTAAAGCTAAACAAAAAGGAGGGAGGTTGTAATTCAATGTACGTTACGTTTGTATTTCATGTATCTGTCAGAAGGAATTACCTATACTCGTAGCTCTAAAATAAATGAACCGCTTTTGATTAAGTATTGTTTAAAAGGTGACTTTCAAAGTATCTTTAACTGTAAGAAAAACATCATCATCATTTTATTTTGTCTATTATAAGGTTATTTCTTGCAAAACCCGAACAAAAATGTTAACGTCGGATGTATATGTAATACTTAAACCTTTGGAGATTTTAAATACCAATGCATTAAAATACTTATCCGATTGACCTTTGTCGGAGTGTCATGTCATTCAGTGTTCTATCGGTGGATAATATAATAACGAACGAAACGACGGCCTCACAGAAAGCATGTTCATAAATTCTTTCGTTGCTGTGGACCAACCCCCAGCCCCCTATCTTGGTTGGGGGGGGGGGGGGGGGGATTTTGTCTTTGGAGTGGCAGGTTTTTTGCAGGTGTCCTGTGGCGGTAGAGGTCAAGGCCTGAGAGAAAAGTGCAAACGGTGCACCATTCATGTAGAACAAATAAATCGTACACTAAATCCTGCTTTTTAATACAGATTTTTTATTTGTATCTGTGCTATACATTGTTTTCCCAGGACACTTTTTTTTTAATAGTTCCTAAATTATTTCATGACAAATATTTGTTCTTTATCGTAGATATACAGAAAATCTTAAAAAGATCTACCGCAAAAACGCCACCCTAATTTAAGGAGGTTACTCTATAACCATGAAATCCTTGACGCCACGTATGAAAACAAAATGTACTAAAAGTTTTCACATAGATATGAATTTTAGAAATGGTAATATCGTGTAGCAATAATTATTCTAAAGAGGTTAGGGCATTTTATTTTGTTACAGCATCGTTATATATAGAAAAAATCGGCATGGTCATAGGTTCATAAACTACGTAATATATGAAAGACCTACATCCACAATCTCAAGCTTTAATGTATCTCCCTATTAAGAATCGTCTTTATTTCGCAGGCGACAATCGGCATCGACTTTCTGTCGAAGACAATGTACCTAGAAGACCGCACGGTTCGACTCCAGCTGTGGGACACTGCGGGTCAGGAGCGCTTCCGATCTCTTATACCTTCTTACATCAGGGACTCTACTGTCGCTGTTGTTGTATATGATATAACTAGTAAGTACTAATATTTCCTCATTTCATTTAACCTACTTTTTTTTGTTGTAGTATTATCTATATCTATAAAAGAATGAACTGACAGACTAATTCACTGACTGATCGATCAACGCACACCTGAAACCGCTGGGTCTACAAACATGAAATTTTGCTCAAATGTTGCTTAGGTGACGTACGTATGCACTAAAAACGGATTTTAAAAAATTCCACCCCTAGCTTTCATTGTTTATTAAAAATTAATAATAGAATTACTTTCGAACAAACCCAAGACTTAAACAATGAAAGCTAGCAAAGAATTGTATCTTCATTTTCTTTATTTTATCCAGTACGGAGCTATGTTTAAAATTTCAGGTCTAGCTCGTTGAGATGTTTATTAAAAAACTGTTCTACTGCCATAATCTGGATTCAGGAATAGATCTATTGCAATATTTAAAATAAGATTTAAAGTATACTCCAGTTAATCCTTATATTAAAAAAGTATGTGCCGTAAATAATGCCGGGTATAAAACTTTTGTTCATACAACTTAAATTACATAAAATATTGTGCCCGTCCAACTGTATTACGAGAATTGAATCCCGCGGTAACGATATCTTAGACCCGGGGGCCTCGCTCTCGTCTGAAAAAAATAACTTTATTATATGTTATGTGTCTCGTACAGAGGATGGAAAGAGGTTTTATGTCAGGCTGATACACGTTAAAAAAAGAATTTGTGATACATTTATGGTTGTATGTTCAATCGTTGCTGAAATTATAAAATAACGTTGTCTCGTTGTCACTATTGATCCAACAGGAACGGTGATCTGCAGCATAAGGATTAACGATGTCTTTTAATGAAATTTATAAATTAATTTAAAATAAATAAAGAAACAACTTCTGCGAAAACGTTAGGTGTCCTTCAATAAGTATTTATGTTATTGCGCTTGCAGTTTTTTTTTATTTAGGAATACCAACTACCTAATCAAAATAGATTCTTGAGTAGACATAGCGTGACTCTTTGGTTCTCTCCTAACTCTCCCTTCATCTTAGTTTGCTTAATTTCTTTCTACTTTAAAACGAACACACCCCCACCGATCAGAATTTGTCATTTTAGAATGACCTTCATCCAAATTGTGGGCAATAATTTTTTTCGAAAAAAATTATAAGTAGAAGTAGTACAGAGAGACACAAATGCGTTGCTACTGCTATTGAGCTCTACCTCCCCAGTTAGGGAGTTGGTTTGGTGATGTGTGGATCAGGGCCCCCCTCCTGTCTATGCGGACGGATTAAGCATACGGAGTGTCACCACTCCTATTTATTCAGTGGATGTCGTAAGAGCCGACTAAAGGAGTAAACTACGCAGGACAACAGCACTGCAAAGACAAGAAAAACTGGAAACCCTATACCAACCCGTCAGGCCAGCGCAGCGTGGTTTAGTGGACCAAAACCTCCTTTCTAAGGAGAGGCCTATGTCCAGCAGTGGACTATTAAAGACTGTTGATGATGATGTGTATCAGCCTCAGCCAGTGAACACAAGTACATTATAGAACTTATAAAACTATAATTTTTTGTAAAAAGTGACCTTACGACCATATTTTACCTGCCTACATATTTAACATAACTAATACGATAAATGAAACATCGTAATGAAAAGCATATAATTACTTTTTCTAATTACATAGTTGTAGAATACTATTGTATAATTAAGAATTAGTGTCATGAATCGTGGTTGTACGCAACTCTCAGTTTATTTTGAATATTTTTGTTAAATTTCTAACATATATTTCTTGGCCAAATAGAAACACTAAGTTCATTAAGATCTTAGTGTTTCTATTTGGCTATTCAAGATACACTATACATCCAATTAAAAAAAATAGTGGTATTAGAATAAAATTCGTCATTGATGTGATGGATTAAGAATACCGAGTGCCATCACCCCTATTCATCCCGTGAGTGTCGTGAGAGCCGACTAAGGGAGCAAACTACGCAGGACAACAGAACTGCAAAGAGTAGGAAAACACAATTTGCTAAGATTTATTATCACCTCCTGGAAGCAGTACATACAGTGAGCGGCTATTTGCCGAAGCAGGTATAATTTACGAGAAAAGCGCGATCGTTGCCTATCAACAAATGCTGATTTTTTTATACAAACAAGCAGACGGGTCACCTGATGGAAAGCGACTACCGCCGCCCATGAACGCCTGCAACTCAGGAGTCACAAGCGCGTTGCCAGCCTTTGAGAAAGGAGTACGCTCTTTTCATAAAGGTTTGAAGGTTGTATGTTATAGGTATTAATATGAAAAGTTATTGTTGAATTAAAAATAATTCTGAGTCATATTATGCTTTCTATTTTTCGTGATTTACTATTCGGTGTTTGGCCGAATAGTTCGGCATATTCGGCCGAATACCGAATAGTATTTTTATTACCGAATTTTGCACTATTGTGCAAAAGTGGCCGAATAGGCCGAAGACCGAATAGTTTCCGAATATTCGTGGCATCTCTAAAGATCACTGGGAACCGAAACCACATACCTCCCCCTGTTTTAAGGGAGGGGGAGTTCAGTTGCGGACCCCCTCTACTATACAATAATGACGAGGTCTTTTAACTATTGTCTAACCTCACAGTAACATATGTTAAACAGTAAATGATTTCTGTATAGTTAGTAATGCTTACTAGTACCATTTAAAAAATTTTCATTGTTCTAAGATTTTAATAATAACCTAATCTTAGTCTAAGTGTAAAATGTAGACTTAGAAAGTATTATGACTTTATGCAAAATATGAATCATAAAATACGAAAAATTAGATCTGCACTAATCACATATTTAAGAATATTAAAATAAAGTAAGTATAACCCCAAGCCTCTCTTTTAATAAATAATTTTGTAATTTTTTCCATTACGCTGGATATGATGTGTCAGGATTCTTAATTACAAAGTAAATATTTGTTTAAAGAAGCAAGGTTATAAAACATTTTAAAATTCGGTCATTATAAGTTTATACTTTTGTAATAATTACTTTTGTGAAGGAATACGTTCCGAAATTCTTTCGAAATAAAGGAAAGAATATTCCGACCAGGTGATGATACCTGGCAGGCTTCAGACCAATTAAATGCTTTGATATTTTAAATAAGTTTATCAGTAGCAAATAAAATGTTTTAAACAAAGTGTTTGGCGAAAATGCACATTGTGTCCGGTAAATACGCTAATCTGTTATGGTGCGGCAAGTCTATACAAGGGCAGTTAAATACTGGTTAAACAATAAAACAGAGAAATTAAAACTGAATGAATACGACGATTAGGCGATCTCTAGTCTATATTAATCAGCGTGTTAACCAGCATTGGTCATCGCAGCCAAACTATAGAAAAAAACAGTTTCAGTTCTGAGTAGGACAAGGAATTTATACGATAGTAACTAACCCCAGGTAATTGGATCAAAAGTATGTTAGTAGAAGTTGAAATGTTTTAACAGTATATTTGGACATGGTACCATTAGCTGATTGACGTCATTTTGCATGAATGTGAGCGGAAACAAAAATTAACGTACCAAACACTATTATCTTAAATGATTTTAATACATTACTCAATGTGTGTGTGTTATTAGCAGTGATTCGAGATAAAAAAAAATACCCGAAAAAGCAATATTCGTTGAAAGCCAACTGGACTTAAATCTTTAAAAATATATGCTCACTATTATCCACTATACTTTAGGGTAGAAGACCGCTGCGATCTTGCATGATCCAAGAAATCTGACTCACTAAAAAAATACACAAGTCTTTGTTCTATCACAATTTATTCACTGATTAATCACAAATGTAATTAATAACATACCACGGGTAATACACGCATCTAGTTATTGCCACTTAACTGAGTCCATAACCTTCCACAACAATGTAACACGCACTAGTATAGCATGCACTTGACATTGACATTTGGCATACGTTTCAAACCACAAGCAATTTACATCACTCACTCGTTCTGTTACATTATACTGTGTGTACCTAGGTTTATTAAAACTTATTTCGTAAGGTGTTTGTGCAACCTGGAACTGAAAAAGGCGATTACAGCTGTTGTACATTATATTACACGTGAAGCGCTGTTCTGTCTGAAAGTATGCCAACATAGCATCAAGGTTACTAAAACTCAATAATGTACTTACTTTTGTAAAGTATCACCGACTTTTATGCGTCTACATAATGATGAATTGTAGTAAGCTGTATTTTTCATTACTTTACTTTCCATACAGTCGTTCTTCTAATTTTCCATCCCGTGGGAGTCGTAAGAGCCGACTAAGGCAGCATGGTACGCAGGACAACAGCACTGCAAAGAGAAGGCAAACTTGACATAAACCCTATACCAACCCGTCTGTCCAGCGTGGTATAGTAGACCAAAACCTCCTTTTCAAGGAGAGGCCTATGTCCAGCAGTGGACTACTAAAGGCTGTTGATGATAATGATAACAATTTTCAATCCTCAACCATTTCTTCTTTAAATTTTAATATGACCTAAAGGGAAGTAGCCCTAAAAACAGAATCGGTTAATAAATTAAGGAGATCTGAGGTACCAAATATGTCAAAATACAACCTAATTGTGAAACTTCCCCTGTTTTGAAGTCACTTAAAAATTCATATACATCCTCGTTGATCAACGGTTATTTTCGTCAAATGTTGATTATGTGAAAACGATAAAAAATCATACATACCTTTCTATCTAGAGATAAATAAATACAATCGATAATAATTATATTGATGTTTATTTTGTTTAGTATAACTGTCATAAAAGTAATTGCCGTTTTATTAAAACAACCCCGTGTAGAAGTGTTGTTATTTATTTTAATAACTTGAAATTTTTATTTAGTTTTCGTCCCAGTCGTAAAATGAGCTCATAACTCGTAAATTGAAATATTTTATCGATCGTTTTTTTATGTTTGATTCGTCCCTTACGTACAACCAATGTGCTCAGTTCACATTGAAAATTCCATAGCGGTCGCAAAACAATTGAATTGTTTAATTAAATCAGTTATCCCTAAACGATTCGCAAGCAAATATAGTCTCTATTTTGTGAGGTAAAGGACAATATTAGCAATGAGAGACGCGTCTGTCTCTAACAAATATTTGCTGTATGCGGGATTCGCGCTAGACCTTGGCCCACAGTTCCAGACTCTTCATGTCTGTATGATATACGACCCTACTGTACTGTAATACGTAACTTTTTATTTAGACTGAGGCTAAGTTAATTGTGTAGCTATGTTTTAATATGCATATATAGATTTTCTACGTTTATGCTTTTTGACGGGCCTGTTGGTTTAGTGGTTAGTGACTGACTGACTTACCTGACTGCTAAGCCGGAGGTGGTGGGTTCGATTCCTACCCAGGACAAATATTTGTGTGATGGGCACAATTGTTTTTTCTGTGGCTGGGTGTAGTTAATCTATAATATGTATGATTTAGAAATATTTAAGTATGTTTATCAGCAGTCTGGTTATCATAGCACAGGCTCTGCCTAGTGTGGGATCATACTACCGTGTGTGAGATGTGTGAGGTTTATTGTTTATTCATTTATTAATAGGGATATAAATTGATATACCTACAGGGTGTAAGGGAAGGTGTAACGAATACTGAAATTAGGAGAGGAATGGCTCTACAGAAGTGATACCACCAGACCTTACATAAAACCTGTGTTAAGTGAGTGAGGAGGACTAATCCTCTTTTCCCTCCATAATTTTCACTCTAAGGGCGGTACCTCACTTGTATCCCTTGCGTTGTATGTGTCCAAAAGCGGCGGTAGTCACTATTAGGTGATTCGTCTATTCGTTTGCTACCTTTACTTAGAGACTATGTAAAAACTAGATGAATTTGATATTTCGCAGTAAAAACGAATTTAATAAGGCCTTTCTGACTTAACTTATTCTGAAAATAAGATAAATTACCACCCGACTCTTGCTACCCAATTGAACACGAATTAATGTATAATTCACTATTGCTAAGTTATAAATAAGTACAACATGTAACTGACTTATGTGTTGGCTTATTATCGATATGAAATTACATCCACCGACTGGCACAATAGTTTCGTATTTCAAGGATTCGATATAGTCGGTATATATAATTGTATAAATGTATCGTAAAATTGTGAGGTTATTTAAGATGGATTGAATCGTAGGCGAAGTGAAATTTTGATAACGCTTATACCTTACATAATAATGCTTTATCTAAAGAAGCTTAATTTTCGTTTGTGTCACAACGAATGACGAAAAAGTGTAACGTGGCTCCATCAGCAATTATACTGTCATGGTTTTTATAAAATTTATGTTGAATGAAGGCATGACTAACGCAAATACAATTGTGTAATCATCGAATTCTGGGCTTAAACAGTCGGAACATATTTCGTAATATAGGTACGTATTATTAGCGTTGTGTATTTAAATATTCAATTCTATAGAATGTATGTTTAGTAATGTACGCAAACGCTAGTAGATTTTCAGAACAACGTTAAAGATCAAATAATAGTATTTTGGCTTGCCATGTAGAGTATTAGTTGTCTATTAGGATCTACCTAACTTTCTTGCTTAATTTTATTAATATACATTTATATTATCATTATATTTTACACCTCAGTCTAGGATTATAGTAATCAAACCGAAGGTTCGAAGGCATACGAAGTTGATTGCCTTACATATGAGTTGTGCTGAGCTTTACACAAAATGAAATTATACTCAGCTGATATTTAACATACGTTCATGTGGTAGACATCGTTATCAACAACCTTTAATAGTCCACTGGCTGAACATGGGCCTCTCCTTAAAAAGGAGGTTTTGGCCTACTATAGCACTCTGGCCAGACGGGTCGGTATAAGGTTTGTTTCAGCTTTTCCTTCTCTTTGCAGTGCTGTTGTCCTTCGTAGTTTTCTCCCTTAGTTGGCTCTTACGAGACCCATGGGATGAATAGTGGTGGTGACACTCCGTATTCTTAATCCATCACCACACGGATAATGTCTTATGTGACATAGTGTGATAGTATTAATAACAGTTTAGATTACAGGCTTATTGTGAATAATCACTGACGGACTCAGTAGCTAGGACCATGAACTTATTTGACCCCACAGTTATGTTGGTCGTGAAAATAAGTACAGAACACGGTATAATATATATGAATTGGATCTTTAACGGTCAAGTGGCATAAGAACGCAACATATTAAAAAAAAAACATCAGTATAAAAAGCTCAAGGATTGTTACAAAGATTTAACGAGAGAAAAGTCTAGATAAAGCTATAAACGCGTCTAATTGCTCGTAAAGGCATTGGACGTAAGCGATAAAATTGTAAGGAACTGCGTTTACGCACTTTTTCGCTTGTGTTAACAAGTTCGCTAAATGAGTTTTACATCTAGTTTCCGGTACAAATGCCATTGACCGGTGGAGACCTTTAACGGTTCTTCGTTCTTAGTTAACAATAGAGTCATAACCTTTATTATAACAGAATGTATAATACATTAATAATTTAGCACGGTACTCGACTAATGTTCACACGAACTTGTGTAGTCTTTCATGAAACTGACTGTATGAGGTTATTTTTTTATGGCATAGGGAGGCAAACGGAAGTCCATAGTCACTTGTAACTAGAGTGCAGTGCGAGCAGCAGGAGCAGAGGGAGAGGGGGGGGTTTGGTCTGCGATAACCTTACTCTTTCAACCAACGAAATATCTTACCTTCATAAATACACAAAATATCGAAATAAATATTTCCTATCAAGATTTTTTTATCAGAAGTTCGTGCGTTTAAACGAATTTAGTCTTCACTTTCGTAATATTAATTTAAATATTCACCCACACACGGTGGATAATACTTGAGCGTCACCGCCTATGGAGAAATGGATGCCTATTAGTCGATACTTATAAGGTTGCCTGACGAAATCGGTGACGTGTGACGTAACTATAATAGTACGAGTTTGCTAGTTATATAAACAAACGAAATTGAAAAAAATACTAAATTTTAATAATTCCTTACTTCCTTAATGAATATTTATTTTTAACCCACAGGAATAATAGGAAGAGATGATCGTCATTATTTGTTACGCGTTACAAGTTACGAAGTTATTTGCTACTCATTTAGGTACTAGGCCCTGATTTTCATATGAGCAGTGTCAAAGGTCTTCGTTCTGAAGTTTCGTGATTCCAATATACTAAATCTTAAGGGTCTTGAGAACACGAAAAGAGATGAACATAATAATAATCTTTTAATGTCGCAAAATTACACAGTTCACAAGGTGACTTATACACAAATAAATGTATTGTGCTTTAGGCACTGTTACTGTCTCCCAAACTAAGCGAATGCTTGTGTTTTGGGTGACATTGGTATATAAATATAGAATAGAATAGAATTAACTTTATTGTACACCAGTTTAGTACATCATTTATGTACAAACAGCAGCCTTATCGCTAAAAAGAAATTTCTTACAAGCAACCAAATGGATAAGCCTCTATGTACTAAGTAGGCGGTTATTATACAGAATTAATTAAATTGTACGAACCTTGAGTTCATTTCTCCCTGTAAAATCTTATTACGTAGCCCGATTTAATTACTGCTACGTTACAAAAACTCAATTTTAATTAATATATATTAAATAAAGGTTTCGCCCTTAGTTTTGGTCCTCATTATTTTAAGCAATCGCAAGTCAGCCCATCTGGTTGGTGAAAACAATATTTTGGGTTAAGGTTTCCCCACACTAGGTAAGATTAGACAGACATGTAAATAGCTCAAATTAATGTTGTGGCTGCTTAGCAATATAAGTGCATAATCGATCGCGTAACTTATAAGTGTTAATCCGTGTTATATTATTATGTATATTTAATATATATAACAAATAACTAAGCAGCCGCAGCCGTTTCGGCATACATATATGCCGAAACAAAGAAACACAGCATGTACATTGTGACATTTTCTTGTTAATGATATCTATAGCTTCGCTAACTTTTAAACTTTCGCGTTCCATGATAATTAATATTATTTAACGGGAATTAACGCGATCTCTTATTTAGGGTATTACATACCTCTGGTTTGCCTGACGTTTCGACCAGGTTGCACCGGCCGTGGTCACAGGCTGACAGCCGTGGTACACAGCGTATGCAGCGTGGACAGCCAGAGGTATGTAATACCCTAAATAAGAGATCGCGTTAATTCCCGTTAAATAATATTAATTATCTATAGCTTCGTCTTAAAAAGTTTCCATGCATCTAAAATTGGTCATCGATCTTTACTTTAGCTTAAATTGATGTGGGACTTATTCATGCGTAGCAAGAGTTTCCATAACGCCCGCCCTGTTAAACTTAGCAATGGTTTTTATTTATTGCAGAGTGAGTCTTAGGAAATGCCGGCTCCGTCTAGTTGTAAAATCCGAGTTGTAAAAATATCTGAAAAGATTTACTTACAGAAATACATGCACTTGTTTAAGGCATTAAAATGACACATAGAAGATAATTTAAAAAGTATTAGAATAGAATATGCTTTATTGCACACCAATTACAGTAAGTAGGTTAAATATTACAGATGGATATGTACAATGGGCGGCCTTATTACTAATAGCAATCTCTTACAGGCAACCTTTGGATGGACAAATCGACAGTAGATAAGAAGAAACAGTGGGTAGTCTAGGTGTATTGAAGCTAACGTAGTGTAAAAATAAATAAATATACATTATAAAATCATTCATACACATACATACAAATACATTATACATACAAATACATTAATGTTATTCAAAATTAAAAACTTTTTCGGCATCTCCCTTTAACCAATATTATTTTTGTTTTATAGATGCAAACTCGTTCCACCAAACGTCTAAATGGATCGACGACGTGCGCACAGAACGTGGGTCCGACGTAATCATCATGCTGGTGGGCAACAAGACGGATTTGTCCGATAAGCGCCAGGTGTCCACCGAAGACGGCGACCGCAAGGCCAAGGAGCTTAACGTGATGTTCATCGAAACCAGTGCTAAGGCTGGATACAATGTTAAACAGGTATATAATTGTAAAAATAATCTTACACATATCATACACGGTCGTCTGATCATAAATAGGTAGAGCCTGTACTTATATATTTCTAAATACATACATATTTTGGATAAATACCCAACAGAGACAGCACGAATTGTCATGCTCATTATACAACTATTTGTGCGCTCTATATTTCATTTTTTTGCTATTCATTAATAATTAAAAACGAAAAGCTATTTTTAGATTCCAATCTCTATCATAAAAAATATCTGAAAATATAGTAAAGTCAGTTACCGGCACCGATCTTGACATCTATAAGCATATGCATACATTTTTTATTACTTCAAATAATAATAATAACTAATAACTTCACACATCTCACACACGGCCGTCTGATTCCAAACTAGACAGAACCTGTGCTATGGTAACCAGACTGCTGATAAACATATTTAGAAATTTCTAAATACATACATATCATAGGTAAATTACACCCAGACACGGAATAAATCATCGTGCTCAGCACACAATTATTTATCCTGAGTGGAAATCGAACCCACGACCTCTGGCTTAGCAGTCATGTCACTAACCACTAGACAACCGCTGGACAGGCCAGTCAAAGCTAATTACATGAGATTGTAATTAAAAATTAAAGTTTTCGGTTCTTATGCAAAATTTCGCCGTTCATTAAAAGTCATTTCTAGTAGGGTGTACACTGCTACATATAGAGCTATCTGATTACCCGCTATCGAATCGAAATATCGAATCGCTCTTTGTGGAAGAAACTAAACTAGGAAACTCATACTCACAGAGTATACTGAGATGGTGCCACTTAGATATGAAATGTCGTTAAATGTTTTTATGTTCTCGTTATTTTAAGATAAACTGTGTCATCAATTGAAAGACACTTGTAATTGAAAAACCCTTTAATATTCGCATGCTAGAATTTTTCAAAAGTCTTCCTTGTTTAAAAAAAGCTTATTTTGTTGTTATATTCGTAAACGTTAACTTCTATTATTCAGCGCTGTCTTATAAAACTATTCATTAAATGCTAACTGATGTAATATTCAACTTACCTTTTCATAATTAATTTGTCCTGTACCTGAAATATGAATTAACCCGCCTTTTAATAATAGAGTACAGAATAGAATAGAGTACAGTATAATCTCTGTACTCGGTACAGAACAATTCGCATCTAAAATAGATATAAACAAGTACTTAACTTTTTTATTATAAATAAATAATTTCCAATCAAATCAAATAACAGATCGCCAATCACAAGGTTTCTGGAGAAAAGATCATTGAGATTTATTTTACCACGTTGTTACCCAGGCATCGATTCTGAGTGAAAAGGCAAACTATCCACTGGTAAACGCCAAAAGCACAAGGTTCTATCAATAGAAGCTGAAGGAAGTGAAGTGAAGTGAACAGACAAATATAAAATAATGCTATGTAAACTTAGTCAGTAATGTATAGTGCGGTGGTGACGTAATTGTATCAGATCGATAAAACTTCAACCAATAAGCATTTACCTTGACTATGCTAGACTTCGTATGATTTAAAATCTTCTGTGTCTTACTAATATAGCTGCAATACAATAACCGTATGGACCGGCTTTACAACCAATGGTAAACAATTATTTCGTTGCATTTCACCAATTGAGTGAGGTTACCGGACCTCAACCCCTCTCCCCGCCTTTTTCTAATGTAAACGGTCTGATCATCAATATGTTCGTCCGGTCTGCTTGTTTGCCACCGTACAGCATAAAAAATCTTTATTTAGAATTCGACAGTTAAATCAACAATCAGACGTCACGATTCCAAAAATATACCTTGATAAAAATATAACAAAAACTAAACTTCATACATTAATTTACTCTTCACTTTTTTTACATGGTCAAACACGATTGCTTTTGAGAATTCAAGAACTTATTTCGAATGTGTAATTTTAGCATATTATATTATTTGGAATGCATTTTATTTCACAACTTCCGCATTCGGAATTTGTGAAATAAAATGCATTCAAACATACATGAAACGGACACAAAGAAGACCCAAACTCAGAACAACAATTTGTGGTTTACACAAAGTTTCGTCCCATGTGAGGATCGAACCCACAAGACTCAGCGTAGTAGTAAACGGCGCGCAGTACGCCATCTCTTGCTGAAGCGTTTCTCTATTGAGGCATTCGTTTGCAATTAATAGGATATTAGACTGATAAGGGTAGTTTGGAAAAGTAGTTTTATTGTATATATATTGTACTTTACACCTTTTTATTGTATTCTTATAGTACCTTTTACAAAATTATAATAAAATGCTGTCCTACTTAAGAATGTCTTACAGAAACAGTATCTTTACTTGCTCTTGATAGTGGATTAGTTGTCCGCTTGTTCAATGCGTTTTTTTTTTTGCGTTTTGTGTGAGATAGAGGAGGCGGCCAAACTTTGTTACTAGGTGGCGCCAGTCCGGTACGGAGTCGCCAGTAGAGTCCAGCTGATATCAGAATAAAACAAAAGAAAAGCTAACGAAGTCGTAGGGAGAAAATTATTTCCGAAAAGAAAACCTCGTGAAACTAATTATTTTTAGTAATTAGTGTCAAAGCCATTAGTTTATTATCTGTATACTTTAAATTTATCATTAATCGTTTACAACAATTCTGGACGAATAACTTATCCCTGAAATAATTGTAGTAACCTGTTAAAATTAGCAAACTTGGGAGGCATATTGCCGGGTAAATATTTCTAGCAACGTCTGCTCAAGAGCAGGTTAGAATACATTGTATGATAATAACATGTGACAACTCCATTTACTATAATGCCTTTAACTTGTTGAAGTCTTACGCCAGTAATTTCTCAGCCAATTTATTGTTGCCGACTAATTAACGACCGACCTCGTTAACTGCGTATTTCCATTATTAGACTAAACGTTTTCTCCTAGATAGTTTAGTATATAAAATATATAGCGTATTCTGCATATTACTTTATTTTTTAAAGACCATTAAGAATATATTCCTGTGTCGCGAGGGACTTTACAAACTTACATGAAACGGACACAAAGGACACCCAGACTCAGAACAACAATTTGTGGATCACACAAAGTGTCGTCCCATATGGAGATCGGACCCACAACACTCGGCGTAGTAGTAAGCGGCGTGGCGACCGCCTAAACCACTACGCCATTCGTGCAGTCAAATTCTATATTCATCATCATCATCAGCTTCTAATGGTCCACTGCATGACATAGGCCTCTCCTTAGAAAGAAGGTTTTGGCCTACTATACCACGGTGGCCAGACGGGTTAGTATAGGATTTGTTTCAAATTTTTCTTCTCTTTACGTTGCTGTTGTCCTGCGTGGTTTGCTCCCTTAGTCGGATCTTACGACGCCTCGGATGAATACGGTTACGACACTCCGTATTCTTAATCCGTCACCTCGCAGACGACCACTTCTTCATATATTATATTCATTATAGAAATATATTGGAAAGCCCTCAGGCCTTAGGCCTCAGTTATATGGATTCGCGATTATCCGAGTAGTCCGGTTAATCGAGTATTCACTATACTCGTATTAAAGGAGAATAATAACAAGTAAACTGAATGGCAATGGACAACCTCTGGACAAGGAACGAATCTGAGCGGCTGTCTCCACTTACTCCGTTCTGCCTGCGCCCTTATTCGTGAATAAACTTCGTGGTTGGCGTCCATTAATATAAAGTTATAGTTTTTTTAGTAAATAATGATCTCATCAAATATATTACAAAGTTTGTTTAGATGGAAATAAAGTGAATAAAAGATCATATTGAGTATTTATTCAATAAAGGTACAAAAAAATACATTGTTTGTCAGAAAACTCAATTTCTTTTTCTGACTTCAAGTTTAAACAGGAAAAGATATCATAGAAATAGTTTTTTAAAGAAATAAAAGTATTGTTATATAAATGTATGTAACTCTTTTAGTTTTACACTCGTGGCAAACACCCAATTAAAAAAAAAAAAAACTTTCAAATTCATGCAATTGCTTTGTACGTCATCAGTTTCATCACCAATTTACTGCAGTGGTAAAATTAAAGTTTTATTATCTTACTTCACATATACGATATACTGCATTGTAGTTGCCAATCAATAAATGAGCATGTGAATTCATTAAAATATAGCACAAATCATCTTTTTGTGCTATCGTTTGCGGTATCTTAGTTAATCTTTTGATAACAGTTTATCAACAAATCGCATTTAGTTTTTCCAATTCCATGAATTAATTATACACATGAAGTGATTGTCGTACGATAAATACACATGAATTGATTGTTGTACAATGAATTATTCGTATGTTGGTTTTTTTTTCTCATGGACAACCCCCATTACTAAACATTGGGTAGACCTAAGTAAGTATAGATAAATCCCAAATTAAAATTTATTTCAATTGTTATTCGGACATTACCCAAATTATCTTGGGTGATTGTAAGTAAACCCGGGTAAACCTAGGTTTACTGCGTCTTCTAGAATTACCCGTAACAAAACCATTGCGAAGACTGTAACGCTTGCGATTATCCGGTGCCTGTAGCATTTTTTATTACTAGCATATATGTGTAATAGAGATGGAAAGGCTAAGGCTAGCATTCAATGCTAAAAATAGGTACTAAATGTATTTTTTACATAATTTACAACTTTTTTCCAATTAATATCATTTCAATATGGCGCTGTTATTGTTTCAAACTTATGTTATAATAACACTAATCCTTGCCACCTTAATCTATTGCAGTTGTTCCGGCGAGTGGCGGCTGCGCTGCCCGGTATGGACTCTGCGGAGAACAAACCACCGGAAGACAGTATCCTTTACACGTTCTATAATATATATGGACGACGCGTGCCTAGGAGCGGGCCAGGGCGTGTGACGTCATGCACTACGTCATTGAATGGAACGTTGCATGGAATGGGAAATTGGTTGGGTGCCGTGTGTAGATTGTTGAACGCAAAACTTTATGAATCAACAACTTTCTTTTGGCATTTTATTGCATTATTTTGCAGTTTTTTTAATATTCAACAATGTAATAGTGTTTTATACGACCCAAATAATGGTTAGTGATCCTTTCATCATCTGTCAATGTTATTGCTTATGGATAAAAGCATTATATAACTATTTGTGTTACGTCATTATCTATAATGGACTTTTTCGCCAAGCGCCTGAATGTGCAGATACCGATATCGGAAATATTATAATGCAAATTAGTAAAACTTATATTATGTAAATTAATTAAAATAAAAAGATATTAACAGTTTTGCGTTCATAAAATTTAACACTGTTTTTACGAATACAAAAAGCATTGAGCATGTAGGGGTAATTTTATTGGGTCCGCTCCGAAGGCAACGCCATCTTGTTCAACAAAACTCAACGTTTTTTTAACACACACATACACACTCAAACGCGTCACGCTCGTTCATACACGCACATATATGAAGTATTTAAGTACTATATTTAGTGTGTACACGAGCCATTTGCTAGAATATATTAATATGTCGGTTGTTTAGGAGATTGGCGGATTTTTATTGAAATTTATTGTTATACTGTGTGGAATTAGCTACTATTTTATATGTAGGAATATAAAGCGTTAAATGCTGTTATTGTTCACTGATAGGGACCTATACAAAATAATAATAACACTGTAGTCTCTTTGAACGCGGTAAAATATTGACTATTATACCCCTCCTGGCAAGTCACCCTTCACAGGTTTGATAGTATTACCTCTACTTTGAAATTTCTTTCCTGTGGTTGTAAAGTTATCGTAACAGAGTAGACGTGTAATCTACTACTCTGTTACGAACAAAAATACCGCGTTGTTTATTGTTTTAAATTAGTGTAGTATATTATCATCATTTATTATTGGTATCTATGTGTTAGGCGTTATCAAGCTATATAAATAAAAATTACACGGCTCGGTAACAGTGCTACTTGCATTGAAAACATATTTATTATATGCGCGATAAAGTCCAAATTGGGAAAATGCCAAGGTCTAATTCAAAACACTACTCAAACAATGAATACATAATAGAGAGTAGGTATTTTTTTTTTCAAATTAATATGAAACAAAAGATGAACTCTAGTCCCAACGGACTGGTTTCTGTTTCATTGTTGATCATAGACAATGCTTTAATTTATTTAAAACTTCGGTAAACTATCTGAAAATATGATTAACGTTGACGGTTTTGAATACCCTGAACATAATGTGTATTATAATTTCGTCAAATCACTGAGCAACAAAAGATTACAAAAAAATATTTAAAGTATAAAATTATTAACAGTTTATTTTATTATTAGTAAGGTTATTAAATCGAAATATGTGTAGCAAAGACTTTAAAGCGAGTAAATGCGTTTTTTGATTTCGTTCAACCTAGTAATATAATTCACGGTCGTCTTTTTTAACATATAATAAACTACATTTTGCCTGCTGCTCTCCTGGTGGCTAAGGCGTAAAGGCTGAAAAAGAAAGACATTAATATTCGTAGTTATAATATTGAAAGGGTTGCCATTTTAAAAAATAATATATTAGATCTTACAATATGATATATTTATATCTGGCAATGGTTTCACGCAGAAATTTGAGAGTAAAATCGATTGATTGCAATCGACATTTAAAATTTTTTGGACAAAATGTCGATACGTAGCTAACTTCACACTGTTCCTTTGATCGTTTAATGATTACTAGTGAGTGTCCCGGAGTTGGTGGTGGTTGTAATAACGTCTAACGTCTGTGTTGTAAGTAAATTTAACGATACTAATATTATGTCTATCTGTACTGTCACACCTCATATATCGCTTGAGCTCTCAGTAGCCGTCTCAGAATACGAAATTTTGAGAGAAGATAGGCGCCGATAATAAATCAACATTTCATTTCTTCTATTACTTTTTCATTTCGACAGCGTCTTTTTTTTCTTTCTTTCTATTGGGCAGAAACATAAGCAATAAGTAAGTTTTTTTTTTATGAAATGATATATCGTCGCTGTAGAATGAAAACCTCGTATGTCAAAAAACGAATATATTTTTATTTTGTAAAATTCTAATGAAAACCACGTATCTCATAGCACAGCAAAGCCATAGATGGCATTAGTAGCCATTTTTTTTTTTTGACATACGTGGTATTCATTCTACAGCGACGATATTCTCGAAGATGATTCAATCACGCGTATTCGACATAATTTATGACATTTTTTATTTGTCTATTATATTCTGGCAGAGACATAACTAGTTTGGTTATGCCTCACTGTTACATTAATAAAAATTGCGGATATCCTTATGGCTCTCTAAAAATTGCTGTTGCTAATTGCTGTTATTTATCTGTCCTATTTGGAACATGATATAATTGGTGACATTTCATCGTTACTTTTTATTAACTTGCAATGTATGTAACTATGTTTGTTTGGGTGGAATCTTGTAACTCAACTTTTGAAGCAGTTATCTTAAGCCGATTGAGCTGAAATTTTGTGTACACTTTTAGTTTGGATAAAAATGCATGGTGAGCTGTATGACGTCATTCTAAATCCAAGATGGCGGACTATTAATTTTAATGCATTAATACAATATGGATATCAAATGAAAGGGCTGAGAATGACTAAAAAAAAGGTTTTTTAATTTAATTAATTTTTATTACAACTGCGGAGGGACAACCTTGTCTATATAGAGATCATTTATCATGCATGGGACATACCTAATATGACATTTGTGATCACTCAATGTGGCACAAGACTGATCCTATTTCTTAATATCGCTTTAATATATATTTTCAAACTAAAAAAAGGAAGTAAATGCCTATTTTCCATCAAAATTTCGTGACATAAATTAGAGTAGCTTAAAGGTGGTTTCATTTTAAATGATTTAATTAGTACCTAAAATATACCTACAACGTAAGTACATTTATGTGGTTCATTTCATTTTGTACTGTATACAGAAACATTTAGTAATATATTTAGAAAGAAACCATATGGGGGAAATTTCATACCCCTACAAAACTATGCTTTTAATAAAAGGTACAGTCGGCAACAATAAGATCTCGGAAAATGTGTTCTTTTTCGCTCGAGTTTAAATTTAAAATGTAGTCTTACTATTACTTATCTCAAACTACGATTCGTTTAATAAATATTTCAAATAGTTTAATTCGGTTTTAACATATATATATATATGTAACTATTGTTGTCTGCTGATCATATACATATGTATCTTTTATATTTACCTGCCAGCACTTATGCTTTTTAAATATATATTATTTCGCTTAAATATTCATATTTGTTTGTACTTCTAATATTTATGAAGGCATGCAGAAAACTGAATGCATGCTGAAATAAACTGGTCGTATTAATACATTGCTCATGGTCAAGATGATAATCTTGGCATTCTTGTTCCTGTGTATATTAACTTTCTTATTATTGGCGTCCTTTACAAGTGTCGGTAAATCACTGAAAACACCAAGAATAATTTCATTGATACACTGTCTTAATCCAAGTAATCTCTTTGATTCGAAGGAAATTGTAATTAAATGAACATATATTGGACCTTGCAATGGTGAAATTACGATTAAAACGCAGATTTCTTAACCACATTTTAAGAACTTCATTAAAATTATCTTTAACTTTATTACCCTTTAATAAACTCTGAGTAAAATAAAAATCCCTGGTTTACCGACACCTCTGCTTCAATACCTCCGTATAGCTGTAGCCGTTTTATTTTCCTTAATGCGATATGTGTACAGTGCACGAGGTTATTCTGCGACAGGCGCCTGGAGACAGCAAGGAGCCCGACAGTGGGTGCGCGTGCTAGGTCCCGCCCCGCGCCTCGCACCGGCCGCCCACCACACCCTTCATGCACGTTGTCGTCACACATACTGTATCGTCCACCTATCAGGTCGCAGTTTGATTCTTTAATGAACAGTCTTCGGGTAATATTGACAATCCGAAATCGAATTTTTGTGGGGTAAGTCTTATAAAATATAATATAAAAAAAACTGAAAAATATATAAAATAAAATATTAACAGACTAGGAGACATGTGATTTCTATCGCTACTTTGGATCAGTTTACTTTATAAGGATCAAAATAATTCATGAATAATTAAACAGTTAAATTTTTTAGTATCATACCTCCTTGTTTTATCTACTTACATACCGTCTTAGTATTTGATGTTTTATTTAATATTTAAAAAAAAAATGTCTGACATCATTCAGTGTCTTAAATAATATTTTTACTTGTAAATTTTAACGTGCAGTAATAGCAAAATCCGATATTTCATTCGAAGACTGTACCTCAAGTAGAACAGTAAATTATTATGCTGTGACTTGGCGATTGTAGATGTGACAGTTTGGCAGGATGTGTCGACGACAGGGTGTACGCACCGATCTGATACGTGCTAGCGTGCTTTTGTGTGTGTCTACAGTGATATTAGATTATAATGTACTACCTGTAGTTTGAAACTGAAACAAATTAAGGCATAATATTTATATGACTGAATCTGTTTTATCTAGGCCTTCGATAGTATTTTATAACTCGCGGATAATGCCATATGTGTGTACTTTAAGGTAAATTGTATGCTACGATTTTATTACTCTAGTTTTATTGGGCGGTTGTGAGCTGTAGTAGTTTCGTCTGTCGTCAATTTGTAATTGTAAGGTCTATTTAAAACAGTGACGTGCTATTTTGACTATGCATTTACACAAAAGCACTATGTATTAGCCGCACTAGGAAAATGAGTACTTATGTGGGAATTTTTTGTTCACTCTCTGCTCTGTGTTAGTTTAAAAACATAAAGATTTAATAGTGATTTCGATTACCCTTGAATACCCACAGTTTTATGTCTTTTTTATATTACCTTATATATCATTGCTATCCATATATCATGCTATCCATATATTTCTTTTATACATAGTAATATGAGGACGTGAGAAATAAATTCCTACATTGTTTTACCCCCATGATTGATACGATAATATAAACAGATGCTAAGCAGGTTTCTTTTTATATTTAAGTTCGTGTAAGACTGAAACTGTGTACCTTTATTTCGCCAGAAACAGTTTGCAAATATGTAAAGGAAACAGAATTTCTTATACGAATATAAATGAAATGACGTGTATTATAACAAGGGAGAATATGATGTTATTAAAAAGTTGTGTACACTCGTAACATTTATATCGGCTAATATAAAAAAATGAAATGTGATATTTTCAACTTAAATGATTTCCGATTTAATGTTGCGAGTGTTGCGGTTTAATTTAGTTTACTGAATTTAGAGCTGCTCTGTATTTTGTACATAGCACGAAGCCGTGTAGTTTCACAAGTTTACCTTTATTTTAACTAAGGTTCCTATGATTTCACATATATCTTGTATGAAATTTATAAAATAAAATATTTATTTATAATAAAATATTTTATTTTCAAATCATTTAGTTTGTCGAGGGAACTTACCTGAAACTCTGCGGCTAACTGTACATTAGTATTATTTATTTACTTAGTGCTTAAGTGCAAAACTTATTTCTTTTATCTAAAACAACGTTAGTGAGATTCCACAGCTGGCTTTCAGGTGTCTACAACAATAATATATAAATAAATTTGGATAACACTATTTAATGAATTTATCATTCCAATATGCTTCGTTAATGATGTTATTATTTAAACTTTGCAATAAAAATATATATTCTTTATGAAATTTGGCTTCAACATATATTCAATAACAACAAATCTAATGCTTAAGTATATATAATAATAATAAATTATTTTTATAATTTATTTTAAGTGCAATAATTTTGTATTCTTAAACCGATAAGACGTTCTGTAGATTTTTTTTCCGACTGTGTATAATGTGAATATTTAACGTAACAATTTTGGTAAAACCAATGAAGTGATAAATATTTAATTATTCACAATTTAAACATTTATTAATTATTGTATACCTTACTTGCATATCGAATGCGCTCTATATTTCATTTTTTTGCTATACATTAATTAAAAACGAAAAGCTATTTTTAGATTCCAATCTCTATCATACAATCTGAAAATATAGTAGTCAGTTACCGGCACCGATCTTGACATCTATAAGCATATGCATTCATTTTTATTACTTCAAATAATAATAATAACTAATAACTTCACACATCTCACACATGGCCGTCTGATTCCAAACTAGGCAGAGCCTGTGCTATGGTAACCAGACTGCTGATAAACATACTTAGATATTTCTAAATACATACATATCATAGATAAATTACACCCAGACACAGAATAAATCATCGTGCTCATCACACAATTATTTATCCTGGGAATCGAACCCACGACCTCCGGCTTAGCAGTCAGGGTCACTAACCACTAGACGAATTTAGAGTTATATTGAGGTAAATTTTATAACAAATGAATGAAATATTGAGAGTGCACGCTACAGTGTTGTCCTGTGTAAATAGCCGTATCACGCTGATTTATTTTGAATAAAATATTTAAAACACTACATGTGTGTTGTCTTATTGTGTACACATATTACCTACTAAATAGTATTTATTAATAAACTATTTTTTTTGGATTGAAGTTTGTCAAATATAACAAAACAAACTTTTTTTTTATGGAGTGGAAGCACACTGCTTTATATTTATAAATAAAGTAAGCTTTCTATAATCAGTATTCATCAGTAGAGAGTTTCGTTTAAAACGTTTTAAATAATTGTATTACTTTTATTCTTATAGATAGTAAAAGACCAATAACGTCCTTCAAAATACACGAATATTAATGTTATCGAATAAACAAAAAAATATTTAGTATTAAATGTGTTTTTTAAGTAAGTCATTCAGGGACTTAATTTATATCCGACATAGTATAATTATTTTCTATCTAATAGCAATGGAGTGTACTTTTAACAAATCCTTAACTCTTGACAATAGCGGTGGACTTGCAGACGCAATCGCCAATGGGATCGGAGCAGGAGGGCAACGAGAGCGGATGCGTGTGTTGAACGCGAATCTTCCACCATCACCCCCATACACCCCTGCTGTCCCCCGCACCGCTTTCAACGCACAACAAGGAACGATACCTACGTCGGAAAAGACTCGATTGTTTTTATCGATACGATATTTTTTATCTGTGTATTGATTTTGAAATCGAATATTTTGAAAATGGAATTAAATGATGAGAACGGACTGTTACATTCAACTAAGTAAGCGATTTGTGAGTTTGATTGTAATTCGTATGTCTCTCGAATAAGCAATAAAATTTTAAAATTGAGAACATTTAACCTAAATTTATCGCAATCAAAGTCAATTTGCAACTAGTTGACTATAGATAAACTCGACGTCGGGCGCTTGTGTATTACGCTATGAGCGTCTGCAGCCCGCACCTCTCCCGCTCCCCGTTCTCGTCCTGCCTCCTCGCCCCTGTACCCCGCAGGCGAGGACTCAATTAAACGGTTTACCTACTGTTTTATTCTCGAATTGTCGCAACGCAAATGGTCGGTAGATATTCTACTAGTTGCAAGTTACTTTCGGTGCAATATTTTTACTTGATGTAATTTTTTCACATGTATAGAATGTATGACATTCACGACTGAACGATACTGTAATTTGGAAACTGAATGAAACAACACATTCCTTAGATCTAAGATTGTACCGCTTTTAAGAATGTTTTATACATAATTTTGGTACGCTATCGATCATTGTAGTAGCGTTAGTTTTGCGAGTAACAGAGACGATTGAAATTGCGCTTTTGATACTGTTATCAGCTGTCAGTTGGAATCTATCTGCTTTTTATGTTTAATGATTGTGCTTAAATAATACTGGCTGTTGGTTGCTGATATATGGATTATAATTATTATCATTATTAAATACAGTAAAGATTGGGCCAGACAGAGGGCGGGGCTGGACGGCGACGTGGCGAAGGCGAAGTTAGAATAAAAAGATATCTCGCCCCGCCTGCTGTTTCACTCAACCTTAAGACATGGTTATAGAATAACTCATATAAAAGCCTGTCAACGGATTGCTTGCTGCAAGGTATTCATTATATATAAATTTACTAATAAATAAATGTTAAATATGATTAATTTTATAAATTATAACAATAGTAATCCATGCATTGAATAATATTGTATACAATAAATAGATTACTTATTTTTATCCAGTAAACCTTTTTCTATTAGTTAAGTTCGCAGAATGTTATTGAGTGGTGTTTGTTTGTGTGGTATTGTTTGAGGCATACATTTTCGCAATTCCGCTCTGATGATAGCGGTCCTAGTCAAGTCTGTCAGGGCGATGACGTCACAGTGTATATCGATTACAATAACCGGGTGTGCTTTTTTGTCTGTTAGCACTTGTTCGCAGAGCCCAAACGAAATATAGGTACTCTAATATACCCAAATTTTTTTCAATTCGGACCGGTAATACCGGAGATTATTCCGAAACATTAGTTACGTTTCAATTTTGCGATATTACGGTTTTTGTTTAATCATCAACTTGAGGGATACGAAGTCTGAAACGAACAGTAATATTTAGCAGCATGAAGCGACATGCTTCAATGCATGGTGTCTGTTGTGAGAGTGTAGAAGACTAGGGTAGTGTATTGTACGTGTAAGGAGGAATGGTCATGTGTTTAGGGATTGATGTGGATTCACGTGATACGCTTTTATTTACTATTGACTCTTTGCTGGTTTGCGGGAATAGCGAAGGAAATAAAAATTATTGATTTTTTTAGCCAATGACATTGCGTTTGTAATTCACGTTACTGTTTCCCCTCAGTTAAATTATCATTAATCATACTTAGTTAAACACTACCCCTGGGCCGGATGGAAATCCAGGCCGACTGCTGGCCCTGACCCTCGACCACACATCGGACCGCCTCAGGGAAGTGTTCAACAGGATTTTGATTTACGTGGGCAATGTAACTTGTGCATGTTTTTCGGAATAATTTTAAAACAATAACGTTTTCAAGAGTATAATTATATGCCGATTAAGCAGAAACAGGAAGATAATTTACTAACATGTATCGATTGTTGTTGATGGTGGTGGTCGATTATGATCATGTAATCGATTATAAATATCGATTTTTTGTGGTGTACTTAATAATCGTGATCGAAGAGTTGGTGGTCTGGGTCTGCTTTGTATTGGGGCTTATTGTACTACAATGAGGTGGTCGCGGTGGGTAGCGGTCGTGTCGTCTTTTGTAAACCGCTCATATCAAACTTGACTATGGGTTTTATATTTTCTTAATTTAGGCCTTGTCTTCGTGGATATGACGCAATTTTCAATACGAAATTGTTCTTTTTGTAATGGAGTAGAATACCTTTTTGGATAATGTTTTGTCAATATCGTTGATGGAGATATTTATAACAGGAATGAGTGCCGAGTTGTTAATAGATGTATGTCGATGTCTTAGCTAACTTTGTAAACAGGTGGAGGAGGAGATAACCAAAGAAACTAGCCGTAGACGGTTGCAACCAAAGCTTTCCCTCAGTATGTCCGTGGTACGTAAGAATGAGTTAAAAAAAAGTTGTGGAAGCCAAATTGAAGGAATATTGAATTGACCCCTGTCAATTCTTTTTAAAACTTGGTATGAAACGTTAATCTTAAAAAGTAACGCTTTTAAAACTGACATCAAATGTACATATTATGTTGTATTGCTTTTTTACATTGTCGGAAATTTGCTGTCTTGACATCAAATCGTGGAAATATACAACACAATGCCAAAATGTGATATACAATCGCTGGAACACCAAAAGTGTATTGGCAGTTCAGGAAGAGATTATCAGCCTATTATGAAACAACAAATATCTTATTGGCTTATGTGAAGTTATTTGACGTACAATAGACCATAGAAACAATAGACTGCACGGATGGCGTAGTGGTTTAAGCGGTCGCCACGCCGCTTCCTACTACGCCGAGTGTTGTGGGTTCAAACCCCACATGGGACGACACTTTGTGTGATCCACAAATTGTTGTTCTGAGTCTGGGTGTTCTTTGTGTCCGTTTCATGTATGTTTGTAAAGTCCCCCGCGACACAGGATTTATTCCTAATGCGGGAGTTGTCTTTTTAAAAAAAAAAAAAAAAAAATATATATAACTGTTTCAATACATACATTGTTTTTTTTTCAAAACGCAGCATAAGATTATCTGTCATCTCTCCATTTATTATTTTACTTGACTATGGTTTTTCAGTATCTTAATAAGTGTGTATACCCGGCAATCTCGTGCGCGACCGTCCCGCGGGGTGACATACAGTGGCGGGGGCGAGGTAGCGCGTCATTCTAGCACACGGCTACACACGAAGAGAAGTGTTTCCCTTCCCCGCCACACCACCCGCTACCCGCTGACATCTTGAGTACCTCGTCCCCGCCACCGTCTGTCACCCCGCAGGACGGTCGCGCACGACGTTGATGGACTATAGTATATATAATATAGGCATTGATGACTTCATCCGTCGTCTTTACAAATCTGGTTCTAAAGAAACCTTAAGGTATAGACGTTAAGTACTTCGACCTTTTCTATGGCATTTGACTTTCCCCACGTAATATACCATTTTATTTGGTGTAATGGAGAAGGTTGGTGGAAGGAATGGTGTATAATATTTGATTTTTTTTCTACATTTATTGTCTAAAAATTTCAGAACCATGGCGGGACATTTATATTTATATAGAAATAAGATAAACTTATCACACTTTTTCGTTGGAATTTAAATAATGTACATAAATGTAAATTTTGTTCTGTGTTTGTACTCGTAATCCAACATTAAAAATTATTAAAAGAGATCATGAATTCGTTTATAATGGTACAAGTAAGTTGGGATTAGAGGAACTTATTGGAAATATTTTGTATCGCCAATATCCATCAGAATTAAAATAATAAACCATGTATTGCTTTAGATTTCTTTAGGCTATAATGTAGTAATTACCATACATTATAATATTATTGTGTTGCATGCTTGCTAAAATTTATATTGTAAGACTACTGAAAAATACGGCTTCCTCCAATCCCAACTTCAAACCTTCGAAAAATTTACTTAGGAATTTTGTGTACTTCATATTTTATCGCCTCTGTTTATTAATCTTTAATTACTTATTTTTCTCCTTTAATATTCTGTAGTTACAGGAAATTTATAGAGATAAAAAAAAAAACACCGAAGTAATAAAATATAGTAGCAATAATATCCAAAAAAGAAATCCAATTAAACTCTTTAGAAAATGCTTGTTGAAGAAAGTGTTAAACCAAATTGTCGAAAATACTAATACAATGAAACTAGGGGATTTGAGTAGAAAATATAATCCAAGTGATTTACTCCACAAGAATAATATGATAGTTGATTCAACTAATGATTGTGGCGAGGAGCAACTTCATGAAGGCGTGCGTCTACATGAGTGAATGGTCTCCGGTCAAGAGGCAACCCTTGACTCCTTGTGAGAATGGCGGGATGTTGGGAGAGTCTTCAGCGATATTCACTACCAATTTTATTTCAGTCTACATACTTTTCTACTACAAATTCGATTTATTGAAAAAAAAAATGCTCGAAATTTATATCACTTTAGATGGTCATCAACTTCAAGCATGTAAGATATAAGGTGTTCAACAGTCAGTTGAGATCCTATTTCTTGACGGATTCTATTGGCCTTTTAGAATATTGAATGTGTGTTAGATTCATTTTCAGATCAAAGCCATTATTGATAAAGCAGAATGTTATGTTGTAAGTTTTGTAATTGATTGTAGGTCATATGTTAGATTGGTAAGGAATACCTTGTATGGATATTAATATTTTTGTACTAAGGTCCGAATGTCCCGCCAAATACGCTACCTTAGCGTGCACTATGTTCCTGTTTTTCAATTATTATTTTTTTGTATTATTTCGTGAAGTATTATTTGTAAGCAAAACTAGATGATATTTCAATGTGGACAATTAGGAGCGAAGATGTAACAGAGGGATAAAAGTGCGAAAGTCAAGAACTTAGTCGTAATATAAACAGACACTGCTACGGAACGAGCCAGTTATTAGACTTCTGGATGCTTCTGCTTGTTTTTTCATGTTTTACACTAAAGTAGTTTTTTATTTATCAAAACATGTCTGATATTAGATTAAATAGTTTTATAGCCGCTAGAGTTATATTATGCTATTGTCACATTTTTCCAACTTATCGTAAACAAGTTATTTTTAACAATTGGTTTGATTATAATTAATAGTTGGTACTTTCTCAATTTCTAATAATATTTATTACTATAGAAGACAATTTAGTTGGTTAAAGTATGACACCCGGAGGTGGTGACCCGTGAGTTAATTTACTGTCAAAAATAGACACCGGATCGCAATAGAAAGTAACAAATATATTGTACTAGAAGGTGCTTAAATTTATGACACTTATATGTTACATTTCTTTTAAAAGAAAAGCGTGATTAAAAGAAATGCTGTTTATGAAAACGGTACCAGGTCTAGCTGAAACCCGTTGTCTATCATGTAAGTTATTTGTATGTTACGAATTTAATTCTATAATTGACTAACTTTCTCGAATATAGGTACTAAGAACTTTATTAATGTACCATCATTAAATGAACTATGATCATTTGAATGACTAAAATCTAAATAAGACATCGAAAAGTACCAAAAATGATGTCTCTTAATTTTTTAAATAAGGTGATTTGAATTAAGAACCGATTGTATTGTAAAGTACTCAAATCTTCCTTTATACCGCCATAGGACATTTTGAAATGTATACCAATACAGATTGGTACTTACTGTGTGACTTGTAATAAGCGAAGATTTAGAAACCGCTGTAGGCGTTAATATACTAATAACAAACCGTAGCTCAATTTTTTTTACATTCTCAATTGGGGTGTCGGGACACTGGCCTTTTGCACCTGTGGTTGTTGCTGTTCATTCGCCAATAATGAGCGTTGCAAACTGATAAACATGTTGTGCTCTCTAAAATATAGAATAAACAACTTTGTGAAGTACCTACCTACCACTATATAGAAGTGATATTTCTGCTTTGAAATTCAAAAGTAAGTGCTTAAAAATGGTAATAGAGATATGGCCGTGTAGGTAATCAATTTTAATTATTTGCTGTATTTACAGCAATATTCATACAAAAGGTATTTAAACACTACTTCACAAAAGTATTTGGGCTTCAGCTGACTAAAACAAGATTTGTATTTTTATTAGACTTCATACCGCGATGTGGTTTAAATATGCTTCGTTGCAGTTTAGAAGATGTTTTATTTGTAAAAAAATACTTAAAATTAGCATGACGTTCTAAATATTAAATGCGTTTTGATTACAAGAAGACTTGGTTTTTTTTACGAGTGACTTTCCTGATCCGAGCATCCATACCATCCTGCTTATATCGTTTAGCTTTTTACTTCACACAGTTTTGCAAAACAAAGGAAATAATACAAAATGAATTTAATTGTTCACAATATATATTTATTTATTTTTTTATTTATTAAGATATATATTATTATCCAAATTCGTCCAGCCGTTTCACCGTAAAAATAACACACACACAGTACCTACATGGCGTGGGATAAGTCAACGAAAACGAAAGAACACAAACTTTCGCTTTAATAATATTATGGAGGTTAGTACGATTATAATATGAGTAAGATTTTTGCAATAGATGTAGGTAGCAAGCTGGTACAGAAAATTAATTAAAAAATAAAACTCACTGGTACAAAAATTTGGAGTACGTCCCTTACATCCTACACTTAGTGTGAGATAGCTAAACTAAACAGCAACATCGATTTAGAACTATGTGAGTTTAGTTTTGCCATTATTTGGTAGATGGTAAAAAGTGAAGTGGGTGGAGCTTAACGCCTCACCCCGCAAAAGTGAAAAAAAATCTATCTAGAACACTTCTTTGTATTTGTTCCGTGGTTAGAATTCGTGCTGCTCAAGTTATTATAACAGTATCTTGTCAGTACCTATAGTCCATCGAATCTGAGAGGTACCATTTGACGTTTCATACTTTTCAAGCCGAAATAGCTTTGTATTGGCGTAACTCACATAATTAGAATATTATTTTCCTCCTCCTCTTCCTCTTAATATTTTTTTTCCGTAAAACCATGGAAATATGAAGCTATTTCTATTTTATCACTAGATGTTCAATTCTTATTAATTTAACTAAAATGTAAATATTTTAAACAAAGCAAACAAAAAAATTATTATACAATAAATATAATTTTTTTAGACTTCGTTTGAAAGAATTACCTAATAGAAATGAAACAAATAATAATTCACGCAAAAACTAAATAAAATGCTCAGTACGTTTGATTTCGAGAGTACCTGCGCAACATGCGGTTTGATGCTAACTTCATTGGCGCAGACTTGTATGGCGCGTATTGTAAATACTAATAGATGTCTGTTTGATTATTCTTATATTTTAACGATTATTCGTATACAAGTGAATTTGAAGGGTCACAACACTACGGTAAAGGACCTAACTTTTGTTGCGCAGGTACTCTCGCAAACAAACATACTCAGGGCCGTCTTTAGCCTATAGGAGGGCCTGGGCACATTGGGATAGTGGGGACCCCTACGACCTTGACTGATTAGTATTCTGTTAGAATAACCAAAAAAGGTATTATAATCAGCCATTTTCGCTAATTTTTTCTAAATAAATATGGTTTTCGGTAATAAATATCGATTATCCAATTAATTAGGTCGGTAGGAATTAGGGGGCCTCTATCTATCGAGGGGCCCTGGGCACATGCCCAGAGTGCCCAGTGGGAAAGAGGGCCTGAACATACTGAGCATTTTCTTTATTGTTTGCGTGAATACTTGATTATTTATTTCATTTCTATTAGGTAATAGTTTTCTGCTCTTATTCGCTTCAGGGCAGATTCACTTTAAGACAGATATACAGTCGTGTAATCGTGTTGAAATTGTCTTCACATAGTTTACATTTAATATGTCAACACATATTTATGACAAAAAACAGTTGCAAGCAATAACGCCCTTAAAGGTATTTCTCTAAAAACGTGTCTTTGGCGTCTATAAACGTCGCGGCGCGGCGTCTAGAAATTGAGGATGTTTATAAAGTCTAAAATTGCTTGCATATATTTTTATCATTTATATGTGATGAGTGTTTAAAAAAATAGCTACAAGCAATTTTAAACCTAATGATTATCCTCAATATCTAATTTCTTTTCTGGTATTCGTGATCAGCGTCTTTTATAGATGCCAACATGTTTGAAGAGAAATGTCATTAAGCGCGAAAATTGCTTTCAACAGTTTTTTGTTAAATGTATGTGTTGATTACTATATAACAAACATAAAAAAAATACAGTCGAATTGAGAACCTCCTCCTTTGTTTGAAGTCGGTTAAAATTAGGTCCAATATGTTTTTTCGACCTACATTGCGAGTTAATATGGTCATTGTTAACAATCATATGTTACTGAAACTAGACCTTGTGTGTATTTGTCTTTACTTGTGTGTAATTGTTTTATGCATGTTCATTTGTTTGAAGATCATCATTTGTCTGTCAGAACTGTCAAACGGTACCTCTTAGATTAGAAGTACTATAGTCGCTAAGTACTATTTATATGCCCTTTTTGTAACGCCCCTTTTTAAATTTGTAGTATGTTTGATTACTTTAATCATTTGGATGTATGAGAATGTGAAAGGTTTTATATCTTTGTTTAAACACTTATTGTTTTCACACTGTCGTGCATTGAAAAATCAATAAATGAAACAAAAAACTACTTTCTCATCATCTTTTAAAACCCTCAAGCTAAAACAGATAAGATGCGTGCCTAATTAAAACATTATCATGGCAGTCAGGTAGAAGACATGCTGTGTTCTATATTAAATGCAAATTCAACATGAAACTTATTGAAATTTATACATTTGCTATTTAAAAACAACAGAAATAACCTTTAAAATAAAATTCCTTGATAATTAGAAAACATTCAACTTGCCCGCTTTTGCGATAAGCGCTCCGCTCTTATTGTACTTTATTCTCAATATTTCTCAATTTAATGCGACGGCGACGTTGATAGATGATTGAGTAAAATCTCTTACAATGTTATTAGATATTTCCAACATAGGTTTAAATTGCATACATAGTATAATTTAGTGATAGATATTTACAATACAAATGAATACTGGTGGTACGTTTTCTCTCTACTCTCTAACTCAAAATAATAGTTTTTCTAATATCACACAAGTGAGTTCTCAAATGAAATTGACACAGCACACGTATGACCTTGGGAACGTATTTTTATTTGTTCCGAAAAAATATTCTCAAACGAATGAGTATTAAGGGGACAACCCGTAGTAGCTAGTACAAGTGTTACTACAAATTAATTCAAAAAACGACTAAATGATAAAAAAAAGTTTAAATATCAATGCTTAATAGACATTATCCTTACCACAGAAGAATCTAGTAAAATTTATAAGAAACCCAAATGTCAGTTTAGTATGATACAAAAATATTGAGTTATTAGCATCACAAAGTTGTCTCAAAAACTCGCAATTTGTAGACACACTGCAATCAGTTAGCGCACAAGTGTCGATGACCTCGCCATCGGTATCGCATAATTCGCTACATTTCATTGGTAAATAAAGTACATAACATCCAAATACTAAAAATTTAGTAATGTGTAAAACATTATTAAATTTTTCATTCAATAGAATCGTCAGATTTATGCTCACTCTAATAGGAACAAAATAAATATTAGTTTTCGGGTGTATTATTCTAACACTATATCCATTCTTATAAAATCAGAAATCGGTATACAGTTGTGGTTTTGTGACATACTTTTTAAACTACTAAAACCGTACAAAACGTTGAACTTGGTCACACTCTGCATTTAAATTCACTATCGTTTTGATGTTTCATAGAAATGTTGACAGGACGATACCGTGATATGTCGAATGTAATGATCTTGTAACTTAGATCTTATTACCAAAGACAAAGATTGTTATTAGAAAGAAAGACTTTGGATTAAAGACTGTGTTGCACAAAATATATATAATCAACATGATGTAATTTTATTTATAGTCGATCATTGGCAAATTTTGTTTTTGAGTATTGCGAATCTGTTCCAGTGTATTTTAGGCATACGTTGTGGTCGGTTGTGGTTAGAGGTGAAGCGGCTAAAATTAATCCATAATATAATCATTTTAAATAGGTAGTTACTTCTTGTATGTAGTTTCTTGAAGTGTGTATTAAGTGTAGGCGATTTCTGTAAGTTTTATTTCATTTGTTTTCATTTAATATTTTAAACGTGTCAGATAACATAAAGAGTACCTAAACAATTTAGTATTTACAAATCTTTATATTTTTCATAATGGTGGGAAAAAGGTTAAATGAAACATTTCTGTGTTTTAGTTATTTTAATATAATAATTTTTTTTCTGTACAAGAACAAGAACTGTTTAAAGGAAAACGTCTATATTATAAAAAGCGCCGTATCAATTTATTAGCTTTTAAATTTAATAAAAAATTTTTTTTACTTAGAATCAACATTAAGTCAGAAAAAGAAGAAAAAGTCAAAGAGAATAATATTTTTCCTGAAGAACAATCATAAAATTCGGTTTAAACATTACTTAAAGTTTTTTTCCCTTTGTTACCAAAGAGAAAATTAAGGGAGTCAAAAAATTCATAAAAAGTTATCGCATAACTTTCGGTTGCGATTTGATAGAATTGGTTCGATTAGTACTTAGGTATTTGGTGATTTACAACATTATTTATTACTCTTATTGATAGTTCTTTACCTTCTTTATCTTTCTTTGAGTTCTACCGATTTTTACTTCTCACAATCATATTGCGCAATATTAATGTTTCACAATACCATGAAACATATAGGGGTAGTATTAAAATGTGACGCAAGTTTAATTAAGCTTAAAAAAAAAAAAAAATTGTGCAATATTTTTTCATTGCCTCGTGTGGGTATAAAGTTGCGCAATATTTTTCCATGACGATAAATGGAAATCTTCTACCTAATATTTTTGCAGAGATGTTGCTGGGATGAAAAAAAGCTCGTCAATTTCATCAGCTAAATATGACCGTTTGTGTGCAAGAAATAATAATAATTATAGTGTAATTAAGGTTATCAATAACATTGTAATTGTAACCTTTACAGTATTCCTGTAATATTTTAAAACTGAAGTGACATGTCTATGAAATTCGAACTTTCTTTAGTACGTATACTCCAAGGAGTTCTAAGGATGTGTTTTATGAGTTTGTCATGTTTGACACTTGCATCCGTCATTAATTAAAAATTAAAACAACAAATGCTTTGTAAATATGATTGCATACTTATACAATTAATCCGTCTTGTTGGAAATAATTATCCTACTATAATAATTATTCTACAATAAGAAGTTTTTTAAATATAATATAACAACAACGTGCTCTTATAACGAGTGCCTCATGTGCCTCATTGAATTTGTAAACGGTTGAATGAAATTTGATGACTGAAATTCTTCAAGCTCCTGTAATCCAGTGATTAGTGTAATACAATAGATCAATATCTTTTATTTTAAAGGCTTTAATATAATATTTCATCATTGATCAGATTAGTGAATATATCAATATATAATACAGAATATCTATTATATTACACTAGATTAGTAATGACGGCCCAAAAACGTTGCCACTGCACATCTGTCCACAGCCATATACGTAGCAAACGTCAGTTCTTGTTCAATATGGCGCCGATCGAGCTGAACACGCGTGACAATAATAATATCTCACAAAGGGTAAATGAGTAGTGGTAGAATGCGATCCAAGGTCACAAAACTATTAAAAATCAAGCAGAATTATTTTTAATGTATTGATATTGACGTAAATAACGCTATAATCGAATTTAAAAATTGATCCTTGTAATTTATACACAGTGTTATCACTTTAAACAGTTTTGGTTTTCCCATTGTAATGGGAGAATTTGTACTTTTTGAAAAATAAACTTTTTACTCTATTTTTAAATATTTTCGCAATAACAATAAATTACAGTAGGACTGGTAGCTGATAAGATTAGAGCGGTCTCCTTTTTTAGGAGTTCATCTCTATCCAAGCTCGCAGCACTGGAAACTTTCATACAAAAGAATTAATTTATAGTATTTTCTTATAATAGTTTCACAGTATACATATCTAGCAGCACGCTGTGTCCGAGAAATGGGTTGCATGGTCGAATGCAAATAATATTAAAAATAAAAATCCCTGAGGATTGTTTTATCATCAATACAAGTTGATCACTCCATTTTATTAAGTATTTACTGGCATTATTTATTTATATACTTATATTTAAAACTGAGATGGGATCATGAAAGTAAATCATTCACTTAAACTTACAAAAGAGTCTAAAAGACAATTTGTTTAGATGACTGATGCTTCATAGAATAAATAATAATAATTATTCTAATAAAATCTGTTTAATTAATTTATTAGTCATGCCTACTCCATTCAATAAACATTTTTAAAATAACTCAATTTATTTATTTAATTACAAAATTTGTTCAGTTATAAAAATAAAAATTAATTATAAAAATCAGTACACTATATATTATTATGGGTAAGATTTCAAATGTCTAATGGTTTTTAAGTTACGTCGCCACAGTTCTATACTGGTTACACTTTTTCGACGTGTGGTAATGAGGTTTGCTTGTCTATTTGTTTAACTCGATGCCTGTAATAATTACTTTGGAATTTAATATGTTTTTTTTTTATCTTAATTCGTTTAAGATATACTTTGTCTATATCATGGTATCGTCGTCGTCTAAGACAACAATTAATCAGGTCAATCTAGTTATCACATAGATATAAATATAAGTACATTTTACAGATACCTAATACTTTTATTACAAAAAAGATGGCGTTAATTCACATCATTTGTTATTGTTTTGTGTAAATATCTGAAAATATATGCTTACACTAGATATATACATATTTGCCCTATTTTAAAAGACGTCTCAATTGATTTGAACTTACAGTCTGTTCTCAATTACGTTTCCGCACGATTGACATTATTATTTCGTATTACGCAGCTAATTATTTAAAATATAATTTTCTTCTACAAACATATTTTCTTTGAATTTGTATATTGTATTGTATAGTGTAGCAAACATATTAACAAAATATTATACTTTTAACACAAACCAAAAGTATTGTGTGTGTAAAATGTGAATTTCATATTAATTAAGGTAAATTAAAGTGAATTGATTATAGTATGACAAGTAATTCTTTCGTAAATAAAGTAAAGTAAATCTTTCGTAATTATTCAGAAACAAATCATCGCAAAACACATTAATTTCCCCTAAATGCCCTAGAAATCACCGCTTGAAACTTGTTTCAGCTTGTCTCACGTAAACAAAGATCACAGCTGTCAAAATCTATACCTTTTTTGTCTGTGCGGAAATCCCCTCGGATACCACCGGTGGCTATGTCAAAAACCATTCCTGAGAAATGCTTTCGACATAAACATCGTTCTAAAATAAGCTATCAATCACTCGCCGGTTTTATAAAAATGTGTGCGTGAGCCAGTGCTGCCATCATACTTTTTTATTTTTATTTAAAACATTGGTTTCTACGCTTACTTATGCGATTCCATCCTACTATCTATCTCTTGTAGTTTGATTTTTACACCCTTTCACAACACAATTCGGCATTTTTGACGTGACAACGTCTTATAATTCGATGGAGCCGGCTGCACGCACAAAATAACATTACTCATGCGGCGTTACCTCGCTCTGAGGCGTTCCATTTAAGGCTTGAAGCGCAAGCGAGAGCGCGGATCGAGCGACAAAGAGGCACAATCGGCCTCCGTGTTCGGCAGCGTTCGACATCTGTCTCTCTCCTATTTGAGTGAGCGATGCGTCCGCGTGGACAGCTGCTATACAATAATACATTTACTATCCCCGCAAATTGCTAATGCGCCTGGCCGCCATTTTGGTGACGTATTTTGTTGACATTGACATTAGACACTCTGTACCGTTAGCATTATTCTGGCTGATGCGAATTGTGAGGGACGAGTACCTACGCATTTTTGTTTATTAAATTATTAAATTTATATTAAATTGAATTGATTTTTATTAAATTGAATCAAAATCTAACCTAATTATATTATTAATATAGTTATATTACTAATAAGTCTTTTCTAATAAACATTGAAAATCACACAAACATTTTTCATTTCTTAGATAGATACCTATTTCCAAGGTGTGAGATTAATTAAATGTCATCAAATATCAGTTTTTTCGTAAAATGTAATCTTACAATAAATGTCATTTCAAATCTGTCAAACTTAATAATTAACCTATTAAATTTACAATTGCATTTCTTTTTTAGCAAGCTGTACTTTTCTATTTTGGATGACGTCACGTGGCTCTTAATGTGACAAAGTTCCTGCGCATTAGCAATTTGCGAGCATTGTACATGTTTTCGTCAAGTATGAAGTGCAGTGAAAAGTGAATGTGGTGTCTTATGACGTTGTCACGTTCAACTATCGTCAGTAAACCGACTTTACAGACAACCGATTTTTACTTGTGAATATTGTTGACATCTGTGATGATGTTTTCACTAACAAGACGTAGTTCCGTTGTGCTTGTGTGCGTGTAACTGTGTATATCGTCGGCTTATTGCAAGAAGTCATTATGTGACATATTCATTATTTAGTAAAAACGGCATTTTAGTTGGAGTTAGTTAGTGGTTATGTTAATAAGCCCATATTATCCTTAATACATAAGCTAGAAATTAGTGTGTTTTTGCATTTTGTAGAATATGTAAAAATGAGCCCATTATAGATAAAAACGTATTTAGTGAGTTCTTGCAATAAGCCGACGATATACTATACACACGCCGAGGCGTAGTTTTATTTGGCCTCACTTCTTTGTTTATAGAGTATCTACCATCTTAACTTTTTTATTTGATCTGAGATGTTGTACTTTAATCAGAGGCGGATTAAGTATCAAGAGCGCTCTAGGCAAACATCTCATTGGCGACCCTCTCCCCTCGCCCCGCGACGATACTATATTATGTTATGTCTCTAATTTCTAATTTTAGTTGTCATTTCTTTACTAGAACTTTTATTTTTACGTCTGGAAAGCCCTATGGGCTGCCACCCTACCGGGGTTTGCGGTGAGCGGTGTATCGGAATCGAACCGACTAAACCACGCTCTGCGCCTGAAATAACAGTGATCCGATAACAGCTTTTATTAAGACGTCACTATTTCTTTATTGGGCCTGTTCTCGGGCATAGCGGACCGGGATAGTTCTAAGCCTCTTCAGGTCCCGCTCCACCCTCTCCTTCTCGAGAATAACTTGTTCGCAGAGGTGCAAACCATGGTCACAAACATGGTACCGAGCCAGAGAATCCTCACACCGATGGCCGTCATGAGGCCACGCTTCTGCTCCACCCACGCCACAGTGTGTCCAGCGCTTGGTCGCCAAAGTCTTTCCCTCCACTTCTCCACGCGAACCCTTGCCAGGTCCTCCTGGACTCCAAATGACTACTACTATGAGATTGGGTCCTCCAGGTGACCTCCTGTTGGTACCTCTTTAAGAAGACGTGCCAGAAAAGACCTGCGTCAGTCAGAAGGAAAGGGTCTCGTGCTGCCACCCTACCCATTAGACGATGACTGGCTGGCCCGCCTTCACGGTGCCAAATCCAGTACGTGGAGCCTTCAGCCGGGACGCCCAACGAGTCATCGTAGCTCGGCAGGCGGCCTTCAGCCACTCATTTCCGCCTTTGAATCTCATGGTAGAGATCCTCCACCACCCTCTAAAGGTTAACTTAGCACCATCTAAGGCGCGCCTTATTTTGGGCGATCAGTGTCCGTCCGTTGCATTATATAGTACCATTGACTGGGTAACCCTGGTACATTACTACAACTCATAGAGTAATCTTAACTACAGCTGCAGTTGTAGCAACTGAATTTTTGTGTACACGCACTGGCCTCAATCTAAGTAGGTATCAGAAAATGAAAGAAAAAAATAGTTGCATTTACGTAATATAAATCGCCGCCGACGAACCGGGCACCGGTGGCGCGCTTACCAGCAACTCATGCCGCCCTGAGTGTGGCCGCTGGTGGACGGGAAGGGTTTCCCCTCCACCCGTCATAATGTACCCGAAGGTGGTGCCCGCGCTGTTGCGGGCAGGCGCTAGGAGGGGTCCGGATGTCTTAATAACAGCAGTTCCTGGATCGATTCTATTACAGTCGCAGAGTGGCACATCGTGTGGTTTTAGTCGGTCAAATTCGGACACACCACCCCGCTGTAAACCCCGGTGGGGTGACGGCTTGCCGAGGGGGTTTCCACACGTAAAAAAAAGGGTTTATGAGCCTAATAAAACTTAGGATGATGTAGAAAAAAATGTAATAAGTTTCTTAAACATTATGAATAAGTGAAGTATATCGATTATACAGCTGTTACCACCACATATTCTATACTAATATTATAAAGAGGTAAAGTTTGTTTGTTAGGAATAATCTCAGGAACTACTTGTTCGAATTGTTTTTTTTTTTTATAATAGTTACTAATATGGGGTCATTGCACTTTCACTTCTCGATAATAATATTTTCTTAAAAATCTTGGCTTTTTTCAGAACCATCTGTAACTGTTTATCTGTAAAAAAAAAATATACTTTAAATTTCTTGGTACTCAACGTTGAATATTTGTATATTACCTATAACACAACTCCGCACTTGTTTTCTTTAGTCCTACACATTTCGCTTCTAGTATGTGCTTTTTTTCGTTAGTTTTTAAAAGCCGTTAATTGATATGTAACAGCTGTAAAACACTAGTAGTTTTGTACAGCAATCTGCCTATTACATATTGGTCAATCCAAAGGTTGTCATGAAGAGCTCACAGACTGTGATAACGCCTTATCGGTGACTGCGATCTGAAATGAAACACTGACGGTTTTTTTTTATATATACTAGCGATTGAATGATTGGTGTGAAATTATTTATTATCTTTAATATCTAAACACATCACAGGTCTGGAAAAGGGACCAGATTCTAAATATGAATTCTTGGAAAATATTTTAGTCCAATGGTTGATTGCTAAGCCAGATATAGTGGGTTTAATTCCCACCGGGGACAAATATTGTGTGTCGAGCACGATAATTAAAATTTGTACTATATGTTTAAATAGGTGTTAATTATTTATCTGCGCGTTCAATACGCCTATGTGTACTTCTTTGGGGTTAAAGACATGAGTGTTTGTACGTATGTATTATTGATATATATATTGATAAGTACAGTTCTTAATTTATCTGTAATAGCTTCAGCGAACATGAGTGGGGACAATATGCCGCAGTTAGGGGGCATCCAAGTGGTGAAGGTCTCACAAGAGCCAGGACGCCGCTACGAGCTGGATGAGGAGTCGCTAGCGAGGGTACTGCTTCGGCCCGACGTGCGCAACCTGCCTGTCGTCGTCGTTAGCGTCGCCGGCTCCTACCGTGGTGGAAAGTCTTTCATCCTCGACTTTTTCCTGAGATACCTAAAAGCTCCGGTATGATGAAGTTTTGTATTCTATGACACTTCTTAAAACTTTCTAAGGTTATTTTCCATCACGTTTTATGTAGTTATCTGTGAACCACAGAATACACGAACACGTCTTGTTTAACACAAGGCAATATTATGTTTGTGTCTGATAGCGAATTTTCCTGCACAACATTTGGGGAAAACCAAGCAAACAACTCCATTCGTGCCTGATTGGAATTACTGTTTACTCTTCATAGTAAAATATATATTATAATAAATGTCTTGGAGATCTCTTTAAATCAATTACAGAAGTTATTTTAGTTTCATGGAATTTTCTTTTATCCAGCGTGATAGCCAATTGTCTACACAATGGCTAGGCGAAGAGGACGCTGTTTTGGAGGGATTCGACTGGCGTGGCGGTGGGGAAAGTCATACTAAGGGTATCCACCTGTGGCCAGAACCAATTATTGTTACAATCGAAGGAACTGGAGAAAAGGTGCGTCAACTGTTATAATATTATTTGGAACTTAGCTTAGCGTGAGACAGAAAGACACCAAATCTTGTTTCTTCTACTTCGAGATCCTGACCTCTTTTCGGAGCAGCACAGGTGGCTACGACTGCATTAACTGCGGCTTTCTCCGGCAGCTAAAAACTTTTTATCAAACTACATGTAGAAAATTATGGTATATTTCCCAACAGGTCGCAGTGCTTCTGATGGACACTCAAGGAACGTTCGACACAGAGAGTGACATGGGGGATAACTCCACTATCTTTGCGCTGTCTGTACTTCTGTCATCCGTGCAAGTTTACAACCTACGAGCCAACATCGGAGAAGACGATCTCCAACATTTGCAGGTAAGTTTAAAAGTATATTGATGACCAGCATCAGATATTTTTGGAATTAATTGCAAATATTTACACGTATTATTAGGTAGGTACTATTTACATTGGCGTATTTATATATAGATAGAATTTCTATATAGATGTGAATATATTCGTGTCATCATCATCATCAACAGCCTTTAATAGTCCACTGCTGGTCAAAGGCCTCTCCTTAGGAAGGAGGTTTTGGCCTATTATACCACGCTGGTCAGACAGTTGGACTTAAAGTTTGTTTGAAGTTTTCCTTTTCTTTGCAGTGCTGTTGTCCTGCGTAGTTTGTTCTCTTACTCTCTTACTTACGACACCCTCGGGATGAATATGGGTGGTGACACTCCGTATTCTTAATCCGTCACTACACGGAAATAAATAAATAAATACATCTGTCTTTAATTAATTACAAAAATATCTCGAAGTGTTTATCTATGTTTTAGAACCTATTGCAAGAGTAAACTTATTCTATTTTGGATTCTTCTATTAGTAGCAACCATGTGATGCCAACTTACATTTACTTGTCATCTAATTACACCAATATACACAGCTCTTCACGGAGTACGGAAGGTTAGCCAGCACCGCAGAGGACAAACCATTCCAAACATTGCTGTTTTTCATCAGAGATTGGATGAGTGCTTACGAACATAAATACGGCTATGTTGGCGGTGAAGCGCTGATGAAGAAAAAGCTAGCGGTGAGTGCATATAAATAGCTCTTTGTGAAAATACCTAGAAAAAATTCACAATGTTTCTTAATTTTAGCGACTTTTTTAAATTCTTGTTTGCTTTAGTGCTGGAACAGAGACGGGCGCTTTTATTTTAGAACTGTAGGTTTAAGTGGTAAGGTCAAATTGACATGACATAATTTTTTTTAGCCTAAACCTACTCAAAAGAAACAGCTACGAGAAGTGCGTGAGCACATCCACTCTTGTTTTGAAAAGCTACAATGCTTTTTGATGCCGCATCCAGGACTCGTTGTCGCTGATGAAAAGTTCAGAGGACGACTCTGTGGTGAGTATTTCGTAGGGCATTGTTAAATCAACATGCTGTTTTCATTATTCTGTACTAAAAGTTCTTTGTACATTTTAGGTATAATGTCCCTTATTTTCTTTTTATTATTAATTTAACACATATTTGCTGAGGAATTTACCACTGAATTTGCTGGCATTTTTGTGAATATTTTTTCAGATATTACTGAACAATTCAGGGTGTCACTTTTGGAACTAGTACCATCATTACTCGACCCAAATAACTTAACTCCGAAGATCATTAACGGAGAGAAGGTACAAGCGCAGGGATTGCTCGAGTTCTTTAAGCGTTACGTAGAAATTTTTAATAGTGATGATTTGCCGGAGGCTACCACCATTTTTCAGGTTTGTAAATATTACTATATTTATTTTTATTCTTTATCCTTAGGTATGTTAGTCATGCCTTTCTAAGTGCCCCTTTATAAATATATTTTCTGCCGGTCGTATTTACAAACCGAGCCATTAAAACTGTGTAACAATTAAAATAAAAATGTTTTTAAAGAGCTGATGCACCACATTTCTCGTTCCATGAAACTGTTTTTTGTTTGTATTGTATTTGTATAAGACTTCCAGATAACACGTGTGTTTTTTGTATAAATAGCTTAATTTAATTGGTTTCATATAACTGGGAGTGAGCCTGGTTGTGTACTGTGTAAATTTTAAATTTAGACGATGTGTTAATATTAACAACTTCAGAAATCGGGACGATTATACCAAAGCCACAAGATGATAAGTATTAATTTCTCTTCATGATTGTTATAATAAGTATGTAAAATATAATACCCTAGGCAACAGCAGACGCCTGTATGATGTCGGCTCTTCGAGAAGCGCGCGAATGCTACGAGACCAAGATGGACAGATACATTCATGAGGACCAGAGCGTAACGACGAGCATGATGCATAACTGGCACAGTGCTGCCATCGCAGCTGCAGTCGCTCTTTTCGAGGGGAAGAAAAAGCTCGGTTCTCAGGATAATGTTGCTGCACATTTAGAAGATCTTAGAAAGGTTGGCATGCCAAAGTCATAAACACATTGATCTATCGATATTTTAAAGGAATGTCCAAGTAATTCATTATAATAAAATATAATGTTAACCAATCTAAAATTTAATTTACCTAATCAAATCAAATCAATTTATTTGCAAGCACAGGTACATTTATAGGTGTTACAAAATATAGATTTGTCTGCTGCATTTTACCACATTATTGGTGTGCAAATATTTATCTACAATTATTAATTTCATTGTCAGTCATCTTAAATAATAAATAAATTAATGTCACAGACCGTACATTGCTAAACTTTCCTATATTATTGGAAATTATAAAATATGTCTGTTAAAAATACCTACCTACTACTTATATATTTTTATTAATCTGTCATGTTATGTTAAAGTTTGTCTTGGTTTGGCTGCTTTGCAATAACGAATTATTACTCTAAAATTATTTTATTGTTAAAGGTGAATTTTTATAACTTTTGTAGCCTACACCCATCAATTTGAAAAAAATAATTCTTTTTCGCAACTACAACTTTTGCAAAGAAATCAATTATCAATGTTTTATTTAAGTTATATTTCTCGTCATTAATGTGTTTTTAAAAGCAGCCATTACTTACTAACTGATCAGTTTTAAAGAAGTAAAAAAGAGTAGTATCAAAGGGTTCAATATTTGCATAAGTTTGCTTTTATACTCGGCATCCGGCATTTAATTTAGGCCTATCAATAGGGTATCACATAAATTCAATTTACAGGAGTTAGGTGCTCGTCTGTCGCTATACCTGTGGCAGAATGACGCCAAACTGAGGGACGCGCTATCGGACGCTAAGAAGAAGTATGAGGAGACTGTGAGTGCTGTGTGCCAGGAACAGACTCGCCTCTGTCTACACAAGCAGGATCTAAGGAAACTTCATAATCAGGCGGTAGAAGTCGCGCTCGCCGTCTTTGACCGTACGAGGACACGGGTGCCGCACGATCTGGATTCTGAAAGGAAAGATTTCATTCAGGTAACTATCGTTCATTGCTTATAATAACTTAGGGTAAGAAGTTCAGGTGTTCTAGCTGTTCAACATCACATATCTTACTTTTGTTTGACCTTAATACCTACGATTGATTTTTCTTGATTCTTTTACAAAAGCGTCTTTGAACTATATGTGTATGTGTATGAATTGATTTACGTTTTTCATAATTTTAGAACTTGGAGAGGTCGTACGAACACTTATGTATTGTAAGCGAGCAGAATAACAGGACTGCAATACTGGAATCTCGCGATATTTATCAGACGCATATGAAATACGCGGGTGACCAAAAAGGTGTCAGCTCAGACGAACTCAAGAGACAGCATACTATGGGTTCGGATAAAGCGATCAACCACTTCCACTCGCTTCGAAACAGACGTACCGAGGAGGCGCACGACCCTGACGAAGAGCGACTTTTAGAGGTATGGTTATTGTTTTCAATGTCCTTGTCTGGAGTTGTTAAGATATAGATATATATTTAAATCAATAATAATTTTCACTCATTCAAACATTAGTACAATACATATATGTATATACTCGTATACACATTTTACTTCAGTAGGTTTAGACACTGAAAAAAAAAACACTATTCATCTGGCCCTAGTACTAGCGTTCCCTGCGGGGTCGTCCCTTCCGTAAGTATAAAAAATAATTAAAATAATTTAATTATTGTTTATATTATAGTATCATTTTATTTATTTACATCTTCATGCATTGTAGGGTAGGTGCACAGAGGTTACAATTGTAATTATTGATTATAAATATATATTTTGATCAATAAGCATATAAAACTAAACTAAATTTACATATATTATACAATAATAAGCGGCGATAGCCTAGTGGTTAAGGCATTGGACTTGCGATCAAGACGTCGTTTGTTCGAATCCTGACCAGTACACTACCGACGTGAACCCACTCCTAACACAAGCAATTTAGCTTAGCGGGAAGGGTTAACGGGAATACTAGTAATTTGGGTTGATAGTAGACCTTTAAAAAAAAAAGGAAAATTAAAAATGAACTAAAAAATTACACATATTATATGTAATTAAATTATCTCCATTTAATTATCCTCCATTTGTACATGGTCATTAACTTGGAATACTATTGTATGTATAATATCCTGAATTGGTGTACAATAAAGATTATTCTACTCTATTCTATTCTAAATATACATTTAAATACATATTCTTTACGTTCGTACACTGTGAATACAGAATTTAAGGTGGTGTACTATTGATTAAGGTACTTCCGCCATCTTGTCGAGAATGTAATTATGTACATTACTATATATGTATACTATTTTAGCTTTGATTATTTTTATGGCACACCCAACGGTGGGCAAACGAACAGACAATTCACCTGATGGTAAACGACTACCACTCTTCAACTCAAGAGTCACAAGGACGTTCCTGAACTTTGAGTCCCCCCCCACCCCCCCCCCCCCTCCAGAACCAGTGGAGGACAGGTTTGGGCTCTGGTAATTTCACTCACTCTGTGAAAAGTAACCAAGAAATTGTTAATACCGCCGATTTTCTGTGAGTCCGAGGTATCGTGGGACCCCGGTCGAAGCGGCCCATTTGTGGCTCTCCCACAATAGTCCGGTATCAATTTATAATTGTTCCGGGTAATCTTCTAAATGGCTGGACCGATTTTGATAATATTTTACTACCAGGTAGCTGTCTATATAAAGAGTAACTTAACTATTTTTCCTCTCAGCAAAAACCCTTTAAAATTTTGGCCGGTCTGGGAATCGAACCCACTAACGCAGCGGAGCAGCAGGAGTTTTTCAAATTCCACGCAAACAAGGTTGCGGGTATCAGCTAGTTTCAAATATACTTCATCTGACTTAAAAAATATGACTTTTTTACTTTTGATGTATGGAGTTCAAAAGTTAAGGTTGTGAAGTAATCCTTTCATTATTTTATAGGACATCCAGAAATATTTCGAGGACTTCGAAAAGACAAACTTACACAATAACTTATTGGCGATGCAAGTAGCAGAATATACGTATAACAACTGTGTGTTTTCTGCGTGGGGTCCCCAGTCTTGTTGCTTCCACCCAAACGCGCTAGAGGAACTACACAAAGACGCATTTGATCGCGCACTCCAGCAGTTCCTCAAGGACAGGGTCGAAAGCGATCAGGACGATTACAAAGATAAACTGATTGCGGTAAGTCTAGTCAACCTTCACACCATTAGTTCGGTTTACATTTAGGTACCCTTTTACCTACCTCCTTGTAGACTTTTCACTAAATATGTATAAATAAACATGCAAATAATAACTTCAGACATTTCACACGCGGCCGTCTGATCCCAAACTAGGCAGAGCCTCTGCTATGGTAACCAGACTGCTGATCATCAACAGCTTATAATAGTCCACTGCTGGACATAGGCCTCTCCTTAGAAAGGAGGTTTTGGCCTACTATACCACGCTGGTCAGACGGGTTGGTATAGGGTTTGTTGCAAGTTTTCCTTCTCTTTGCAGTGCTGTTGTCCTGCGTAGTTTGTTCCCTTAGTCGGCTCTTACGACACCTACGGAATGAGAATGCTGATAAACATACTTAAATATTATTAGATACATTACACCCAGACACAAAACCAATGATCATGCTCATCACACAATTATGACCCACGACCGCTGGCTTAGGAGTCAGGGTCACTAAACACTGGGCCAACAGGCCAGTCTAGTCAATGTGTACATGGATACCCCCACGGGTTATAGCTTCAGACTAGGGTTGTAACGGAGGCGCAGGAACGTAGATGTGCAAAAAATAGGAATTTATGGTTTATTCAAAGTCAAAAATCAGAAAGAAAACAAATAAATAATAACTCCTTGTCAAGTTCTATACAATGCCGTTAAAAAACCTGAAAATGTGAGGTATAAATATATTATGTGAGACAAGACACAGATATAGTATCATTCACATTTTTTTAAATGTCGTACATAACTGGCAACACAGTCCCGAATAACGCGAACCTCAACCTGCACGGTTGATTAAGTTGCTCGGTTTGAATTTTAGTCAGATACTCTTAAGCTATCTGGGAATGACTAAAATGTTCTGATATCTTCTTGCATTTTGTTATTAAATGCCCCAGGGATGCCCCAGGTTTTGTCGGGGTACCAGGGACTTCCTTTCTAGGGTATACCTGGTTCCCCGGCTATTAGTACCCGAGACGGCGTGCGGTTTTTAATCGGTTCGAGTCCGACATGCCACCGATAGGTGGTATCCGAGGGGATTTCCGCACGGAAAAAAAGGTGAAATTTCAATGTATCTTTATTATTAAATAAATAAAGTAAATATTTTCGGATATCTGACACACAACTTCATCTAGTTTAAACTTAGCAGAGCTTGTAAAGCTAAATTCACTGAAAACGTATATACTTTTTTTTGTGGTGGTATCCGAGGGGATTTCCGCACGGAAAAAAAAGGCTGACAGATAGCCTCAACTGTCACACCCAGGCCTGCGCTTATGGAGGACGGAGGCCGTTCTGTGACCTCCGGCGCCTGAGTCGCCTGCGGTACCTGACCCGTTCCCGGGCCTGGCGGGCTGGGAGAGTTCTAAACCTCTCCCGGTCCCGCTCCGTCGTCTCCTTCTGCGAGCAAGTTATGCTCGGAGAGTTCCACGCACTCTCGCTCCGCACGATAGCCACAATCAGGCTATCGAGCGAGAGAACTCCCACTCCGATGGCCGCCACGAGGTCTCGCCTCTGCTCAACCCACGCCGGGCACTCTACCAGCGTGTGGAGAGCCGTGTCCACGGTCTGGCCATCGCAGTGGTGGCTCTCAGGCGTTGGCTCCTTGCGGATCAGGCACAGGTGATCCCCGAAACATCCTTTCCCAGTGAGCACCTGCGTCAGTCGGTATGAGAGGGTGCCGTGACGCCTTTCGAGCCGATCCTCCATAACGGGTCTTACCGCCGCGATGACGGCGTGCCCGGACGTCCTCTTAACTGATAATTTGTAACGGACGTAGACAGTTTTAATTTCCCATGTTCTCTTTCTTTTTCTGCTGCACAGTTCTTCGTATTTTTCTTTAGGCATACATTTCAAATGCCCTCTAAGCGATGTCGTAGTCCGACCTTTCCTTGAAAATTTTTTCCACAAGTTTTATATTTTGCACAATTATTGTCTATTTCTAAAAAGATCTCACTTGTTTTCGTCTTCATCTTGTGACTTAAATAAACATAATAATTACTTTGCACTAAGTCACTTAAAACGAAACAATCGCGGTTCAATTAGAATTACATTACAAATTCGATCAAAGATTGACGGGCCTGTCGGTCTAGTGGTTAGTGGCCCTGACTGCTAAGTCGGAGGTCGTGGGTTTCATTCCCACCCAGGAAAAATATTCTATAATTATATATGTATTTAAAAATATATAAGTATGTTTATCAGTAGTCTAGTTACCATAGCACAGGCTCTGCCTAGTTTAGGATCAGACTGTCGCACTGATACTCAGTACTACATCGGTAATGTACTGTATGTATGTATGGCGGGGCGGTATGGCATACTGTGGCAGTGATGATATTACATTTCACATCATCACATCAACAGCCTTTAATAGTCCACTGCTGGACATAGGCCTCTCCTTAGAAAGGAGGTTATTACATTTAATTATAGAATAAATGCTTCATAGTTACTTGTGTGTTATTGTTGCAGAATCTTAAGAATCGTTACGAGGATCTTCAGAAAATCAATGATTTCAACAATAATCAGGCTGTTGACCACTCGTTCGGCGAGTACACGAGGCGTATGGATAAACACAGCCAGCCAGGACTTAGCTCCATCCTTATTGTACCTTTCGTCATCAAGGTATTTATGATCAAAAATTCTGTCAAAAGCAAAATCTGTCTTGTTTTATTTAACGATCTCTATTAATATTATTTTAAGACATAAACACATTCAACATTATCCAGAAACTAGATGTTTAAAAGACTTGTATAACTTGTCAAACCTCAATAATCGGCAGTCAGCGTTCGATAAACAGTTAGTTTTGAGACGCTCCCCAAAATAATTTTCAATGGTACCACTATACCTGTTTGCCGAACGGTGAAAGACCTAGGCTTACAACTCGACTGTACTCTAAACTAGCGCGATTGAGTCACATACGTATGCCAGAGTGTTACCGGCATTCTCAGAACATTAAATCGCCTGAAAAACTTTCTTCCCGTGAAAGCTAAGACAGCGCTGGTGCAATTTCTTATCTTCCCTTTAATCGACTACGGTGACGTGTGCTACTATGACCTGAATGCAGATCTTGTCAACAAGCTAGATCATCTTATCAATAACTGCATTCGATTTATTTTTAATCTTCTTAAGTATTAGTATATAACCATATCTCCAGTTTTCGTTCAAAGATAAGATGGTTACCTATTCCTCAACGCAGGAAAATGCGCGCACTCACAATTATGTACACTATCCTCAATTCCCCTTCCTCTCCTACTTACTTAACAGACAATTTCAACTGTTATTCAATAACCACAACAGTTCGGTCAACAATCGCCTTCTACTCTGTCCTTCTCACACCACTGGGTTTGTCGGCTCTTCGTTCTTCGTCCAGGCTGTCCTCTTATGGAATGCGCTTCCTCTCAAAGTCAAAATGGCCACTAATCGGTACTCTTTTAGACTGGAAGTGAAAGAGATTTTGCTGAGTGAAATGAAAGATTCAACGAGCTCCTAATTCATCGCCTAAATATTTTTTTTGTAATATATGTATATATGAGTATATATGTGTATGTGTGAATGTGTATGTACGTATATATATTTATGTGTGTGGTATTCAGATGTATACACCAAATTCTAAGATAGTTGGTATTTAAGAAAACCTCTATCATTTATTACCCCCCCCATAATTGCACCTACCTCATTCTTTCTCAACATTGCCCAATCGGTCGACTGGCAGAGAATGCCTTAGGCATTAGGTCCGCCGATGCATGTACTTGTGCAAAAAGTTATAAAATAAAATAAATAATAAAAATCGCGTACTGAGGAACAGCGACGCGTGAAAGTTAACCCGTTCGATTGGTAAAATTTTTTTTGAAGACATCTTCTCACTAGGATTATATCCGGTTGCGACTTCGAGTCGCGATGGCCTTTACAAACACTAATAAACGGACGCAGGGAACAACAATTTGTGTTCTCCCACGTGGGGATCGAACCCACAACACTCATCGCAGTGACCTGAGCGCCTGACTGACCGCTTAAACCACTACGCCATCCGTGCAGACAACCGTCCATTACATTGGCGTGCTGGCCTCTCCAATGACAAGAGAGACAAACGGGTATGGTGGTCTCTTTGGTCTACTGCAGTCTCATGCCTGTTCATACTTCAGTTGATCAAAAAATCTAACATTACAATTTAGAGTCTAACAATTTATTTATTGTGTTATTGTGTCTCTGTATCTTAGAATTTAATTTTATAAAATAATATATAATGAAATTAAATATACATATGGTAAAAAATTGTAGTGTTCTATTGCTTTTATCAGAAATTAAATATTATTTACAGATGCACATGTTAATGCCGAAGTATCACGAGAAAGCCAAGACAGCAGCCCTGAGTATGTTTATTGAGAAACGTCGTGGTCGTTCTTATCAAGATGATCGTTATTTAGACGGTCTCAAAACGGTAATTTTACCTCAAAAATATTATATTTTAATAGACAAGTAATCAGGGGTAGCTCACCAGGGACTTCCTTTCTAGGGTATACCTGGTTCCCCGGCTATTAGTACCCGAGACGGCGTGCGGTTTTAGTCGGTTCGAGTCCGACATGCCACCGATAGGTGGTATCCGAGGGGATTTCCGCACGGAAAAAAAAAAGAAAAAAAATGGGTAGCTTACCTGTAACAATTGACAAGCCAGTAATGGAGGACAACCTTCTTCGTGATGCTACCCCTTAAACTTCCATTTTCTCCCTGAAAATACAAGAAAAAGGTTTCATGAAAAATATTACGATAATATTATTCCTTAGGTGTCAAATGAATCATCACATGATTGTGGATTAGAGCTTCGTTTAAGGATTCACGTCGATAGTGAACAAACACTATCGACGTGAATCCACACTTAACACAAGCATTGACATAAAACAAAGGTAAAAAGAACGTGTACGACCCCCTTTATAACAAGCCATTAAAAAATAATCCTTTCCTGTAAAATCATTTGAAAATTGAAATTAATTTATGATCGATGAAATAACAAGTAAATGTATTTTCTCCGCAGAAAATGAACGAAGCATATGAACAATACACCCAACCGCTCCAGGCCCTTATCCGAGAATTAGGGCTCCAGCACTTGTTACTTTCTGATCTTCATCAGAACACATAGACTAACAATTTCTAGTTCAATAACTTTACATGCATTTATTGTCTTCTTAAACTAATTACTTTCAAAATTAGCATCTGTCTTAAAATATTATGTTTTGGATGCATTTTTGAAACTAGCTATAGTTAGATTTAAATTTAATTTAGTAGTTACATTTAGTATTTAGTTTAATGGGAACTTATTTTTCAGCATAATATTTGAACAATGTCATAAATAAATAAATTAAGTGATGTATTTTTATTGTAATAAATTGTGATCAAACTAAAGAAGTTTTATTTTTATTTTAGTGGACCAACACCGCACAGTGTTTCTGTTACGGTACTTGTATCTGAAAGTAGTAGGCATCCGGGAATAGCTTTCAATAGGAATTTCAGACGGAACATTAATTTGTATTATCTTTTTTTTTTTGTTTAAATTCCCATTTAAATAGAAGGTAAATAATTTAAATAGTTACTCTCAAGGATAAAATTCGTAACGAGCACATAAGAGGCAGTTTTAAGGTTGCGCCTATTACTGAAAAACTTGTGCAGGCCAGACTGAGGAGGTATGTATTGACCCGATGCCCATATTGTGAAAAAGTACCTTTCCATGGCTGTATACAGGAGAGGGAGAGGCAGACCACGAAGCTCGGTGTGCTGAACAGATCGAGGCAGTATTTCACTCCATGCCATCGCCTCCAACTCTATAAGGCGCAAGTCCGACCGCATATGGAATACTGCTCTCATCTCTATGCAGGGGCACCACAGTACCAGCTTCTCCCTCTGGATCGAATACAAAGAAGAGCGACTCGAATCGGTGATAGCCTTATCGATCGGTGTTAAGTAGAGATGTAGCTTCGCTCTGCATCTATCGTATATACCTATCATGGAGAGGGCTTCGAGGAATTGTTCGGACTAATACCGGCCGCAACGGCCATTGTTCCACACGGCAAAATTTTCATCCCCACCACTTGGATAATTAGCGCTCGTCCACTGTGCGCTTTTCAAGACCCTTTTTGCCTCGCACTACTAAGTTATCGGCTGCGGTGTTTCCGGACCGATACGACCTTCAAACTTTCAAGAAAAGAGCGTACTCCTTCCTAAAAGGCCGGCAACGCGCTTGTGACTCCTGAGTTGCAGGCGTTCATGGGCGGCGGTAGTCGCTTTAGATCACAGGATCATAGGTGACCCGTCTGCTCGTTTGCCCCTATTCCATAAAAAAAGACCGCAAACTACCTGGATGACAAATGTCCAAAGAGACATGAGGGAGTTGGGCTTGTCCACTGATGCTCACCAGCGAAATGTATGATGCCGCATGATTGGGAAAACCGACCCCGCATAACGGGAATGGGCGAGGGCAAAGATGATAATTTAAATAGACGGGATGGCGATATTTTACAATCATATTAGCATCAGTAATGTCTTAAGAATTGAAAAACACATGTAGTTATTCTGTTGCTAAATTTTGTTAACTAGTGACTATTGAGTATTAGGTTTCAAATACCAACTGTCCCGCTTTTATACTTTACTTTTTTCTCAAATTGACGCGTCGATATTACACAATACTAATGAATATATGTAGTCTAGAAAACATTTGAATCACATCGTCTAAGAGAGTTCTCGACTGAAATTTAATAAAATGCAAACGCATGACCCTGTCATTCTATTTTTATTTGAACAATGCCGAAAAAAGTCTCTCAAATGATTAGCCTTCACGGGAAAAACCGTACTAGCTAGGAAATACAAATGTTACCACAAGTAAATTAGAAACCAACTAAATGATAAAAAAAACCTTTTAATATAAATTTTCCATTATGTCAGTAAATTGTTAAATGTTAAATTCTTATTACCTGAAACTGGCTGTAGTGGACGGATTATAAAGCAAAAGAATGCTCCTGGAGCAAACATTTTGTTTGGCGTTGCCTGGGGGAAAATGAACCAGTTGTGGTTGTTGTTGGGTGGTTGGTGAAAAGGTATATACAGATCTACAAAATTAAGTAACGTGGCATTGGGAATTTTGACGGTACATGTTGTGACTGATTTGCATATTGTATGCGCATTTTATACATCAATTCGTTTTTACTTGTTTGTTTTGTTTTATTTAATAAAATTAATCCCATCGTCAGAACAGGACTTTGATAAAAATAAGAATAATCTCTTTGCATATAAATCCTTTCTAATAAAATTTATTCTAACAATTCATTCCGGCGAAGACAAAAGAAGATTATAAACATTGATTCTCCGTTTCTTGAAATAGGTTGAAAATACCATTTTTATGGATGCGTCTAATCATTGTTAGATTATAAAATACTGAAAATTTCGAAACAGGTGAAATCCTGTTAACAAAAATACAACCTCTATTAATTACTACGCGAGCTATTGGTCAATAATTGTCACATTTAATGTCCCGCATTGATAGACAAAACCAAAACAAGGTTTTTATTAGCAGTTTTTAGGGTGACAATAGTTAAACACCCGCCATTTGAGTTTTTATTTAGGTTTAAACCCGTTTCTGCCATAAACCTCGGTTTTAACCCTTTTAACCCAATGGGTTTAAACACTGCCCATCTATAACTATGACACATAATGTCGAATGCGGTGATTTTTGTAATTAAGCTCTTATCACGAAAGGGGAAGATTGATATTAAAATAAAACATTTTGAAAACTATGTTGCAAAAAATATATGCAATCAAATTGATCTCATCATCAACAGCCTTTACTAGTCCACTGCTGGACATAGGCCTCTTCTTAGAAAGGAAAATTAATAATAATAATAAATATTATTATTAATTATAAATATTATTACTATATTATATTATTATTAATATTAATTAATCTAATTTTATATATCTATATAAGTCATTGGCAAATTTTCTTTTTGAGTGTTTGCGAATCTAGTTCAGTATTTTTAGAAACTTGTTGTATTCGGTTGTGATTAGTGGTGAAGTTGCCAAAAATTATTATTACACAGACATTTTAAATAGTTATCTACTTCTTGTATTTAGTTTCTTGTAGTGGATATTCAGGATAGTCGATTTATGTAACTACGCAACAGCACAGAGAGCAAAGAGAAGGAAAACTTGACACAAACCCTATACCAACCCGTCTGGCTAGCGTAGTATAGTAGACCACAACTTCCTTTCTAATAAGAGGCCTATGTCCAACAGTGGACTGTTAAAGGCTGTTGTTGAATCAAATGTCAATTATTATTATTTCTTTTTGTTTAGATCATTGAGTTAAAACAACACTAGAGAAGCAAACCTCATTATCACACGTCGAAAAAAGTGTAACCACTTTTGAACTTTGACGACGTAGCTTTGATACCACTAAACATTTGAAAGTAAACATATTTATGTCTCATTTACACGCGAGACAAGAACAATACCATCGCTCGGATTAGACAAAGACAAAGATATAACTTTACGATGGTGGGCCAGTGTTGACTACCGTATGAAATTTTACCCATAACAACTAAGAAACAATTTTTTTTAAAAACAATTTTGTAATAAAGTAAATTAATTTAAATATTCTAAATAATATATTTCGAATTGAATAGAATAGGTATAAATAATAAAATACCTGGAAATATTTGGTTAAAAGGGTTTATATTCAGTGTAAAATCAAACTGCGCTGTGAAGCATCAGTTTTGTATACAATTGTCTTTTAGGCTCTTTTTTATAAGTTTGTGTGGATATTTTACTTTCATGATACAATCTTATTTTTACGTATGTAAAAATAATAGCATTTAATAATAAAAGTGAATGATCAACTTGTACTGATAATAAATAATCCCCAGGGTGTATTGCAAATTCTATTATAATTTAAAAAACAAATAAAAAAAAAAAATTATTTATATTTTATATTTTTTTTTATTTATGTTTATTTACCTTTTTATTTTATATTTTTATTTTTTATTTTTATGATAAACATTTTTTATTATTATTATTATTATTTTGTACAATTATTATTTAAAATTGATAATAAATTAAGAAAAACAATGAATTAATTCTTTTGTACAAAAGTCTCCAGCACTGCGAGCTTGGCACTTCTGCCAAGCTCGCAGTGAACGTTCAACGGGTCCCTAAAAAAAGTGATCGGTCCAGCCCTAACAACTACCGTTCTTCCTATATTTTATTATTATTGGCAAAATGTTTAAAAACAGTATAAAGCATATTATTTCACAAATTATAAAATCTCCCACTAATGTGGGAAAACCAAAATGATTTTTTAATGGTAACACTGATTCTAAATTACAATTATCAGTGTTTTATTTCAATTATAGCCTTATTTACGATATTATCAATACAAAAACCATAATCTGACACGTGAAAAGTAATTCCGCATGATTTATTAATGTTTTGTGACCTTGAAACGCATTTTTTCACTACGCATTTAGCCATTTTGGCGATTGTTACTGTCATGTGTCGCTATGTTCAACTCGGTTGACGCCACATTGAATACTGAATTGACGTTTGCTACGCATATGCCTGTGGACAGATGTGCAGTAGCAACGATTTTAAGCGGTAATTACTCATCTATGTAAGTATTATATCAATGGTTTAGATAACTAAAATGTTTTTCACACTTCGCCCACACTAGTTTCACATTATTCACTATAACAAAAGTCCCGCGAGGTTATTACCCCTAGATGCTCTACCAGAATCGTATATTATACAATTAACATACAAATTGTACTCAATAATTATATTCACGACCGCACAATTTGTTATTTAGTTTTATAGAGTCTCTTATAATAACAATGATTAATCATAGCACGATTCTGCGGTAAATCCCCAAACAGCTTACTTTAGGTGTTGACATGTATAATTAAAATATCTACTATTATGCAAAAGTTTACACATTAAGTAACCATAAATATAAAATAATACATACATTTGTCGCGCCTAAACCACTTAGCCGATTTAAAAAATTCTTTCACCAATGGAAAGTTACATTATCAGCAGGCGGAGCCGCTGACAAAAGTTAGTATTAATATAATAAGCTTTATATTGGTGAATTAATTTTTAAATTTGGTTTAGTGGTTTAGGCGTGAAAGCGTAACAAACAAACTTACTTTCACACTTATAATACTAGCTGAGACCCGCGCTGTTCCCCTGCGTTTGGTGTTATAACCGAGGGCAACGCCGCGGGGCGAAGGTAGTCTAAAAAAAGTAGCCTAAGTTACTCCTTATGCCATCAGCTATCTGCCAGTGAAAATCGGTCCAGCCGTTCCAGAGACAGACTCGGAACAGACAGACAGATAGACAAAAACTGTAAAAAATGTTATTTTGGTATACACTGTGGCGGTATAGATATCACAAAAAATGAAATAACAGATAACACGGTTCAATATACGTCGGTTAAAATAAAAAAATAAAAAATTAGTACGAAAATACAGAAATGCAAATTTAGAACAAACTAAATACAATAAAATAATTTCCGAATTAGAACACCATTGATAACATGAGTCGGTGAACTGTACCTACACGGCAGCGTCGCAATGTCGGCGACATCAAAACGACGCCGCCGCCGCCGCGAGCCGGCGAACTTTACATTCTTATTACCTACCTACCAATCACTTCACTTGCTTTTAAAAATCTATTTATAAAGAATGCGATTTTATTCACGTGTTTATTTCGTGAATGCTCGACTAGCTTCCGACCCAGCAGTACGCGTCACTCCTTGAAAAAGTAGTTACCTTGGTTGTCTCGTAATCTTTGTACCACCCTTACAAAAATTCGGCAGTCTGTAGGACATACACGATTGACTCCATACGTGTCCGTAAAGCAAAAGATGCGTTTTGATAGAGTTTTCCATAAATTAACATCATAGCAGGCAGGCATATTCCGCGGCTGTGAAGGTCACTCACGGCATTATGGATGTTGATATCGATAACCCAATAAAATTAAAAGACTGATAATGCACTCAGTTTCACACTACACTACACACAGAACCTAATAGTGACTTTTCAAAATAAAATTAGCAGGACTCCTTACATTACGAAGTCTTGCGCACACGATAACATTAATTGTTCACACCATTGCCGTGTATTATGACGAAAGCAATAAGACTAAACAATTATTACCACAAGAAAACTTCTCTAAACAAATATGTATCTCATAAACAACAACAATATTATTATTACGGTTATTTGTCGTGAGCGCATCTACAAGGATACGGAATAGCATAAGCTCGCCGGTGGCCAAGGGCCGACTGACTGTCCTTACTGGATGAACTAATTAAAAACGCGTGTTGCATCGTGATGACGTAATAATCAACATATTTCGTTCGATTCGGGTGTAGTAAAAGCGGCAACGTGTGATTACCGCGTATACCTACAGCTGATCGCCGCCTGAGGTCAATGTATTATGAATGCATGTACACATGATGTTGCAATTTACAAAACACAAAAATGAGTCCTGTGGCTAAACTACTGGATATATTTTGTTCATATTTTGCAAATCGCCTAGAAATTAAGGGCAGAATATGTGGCTTAAGTATTTGGGATAGGAAATGAAACTCTCTGTATGTACCGTCTAAACATACATATGCATTTAGTAAAAACGGTTATTTTAATATTACAAACAGACACTACAATTTTATTTATTTGTATAGATGTATAGATAAGTAAGTATGGATTAAGAATAATAAAATATATAATGCTAGCTTTTGCCCGCGGCTCCGCCTGCATATGTAAATATATATATAATTATAGATACATTATGTTCTTTCCATTTGATGTAATTTTAATGATGTCTTGTAGAATACTGTGCGCTATGAAGATATAAAAACTTGTGTAGAATTAAAAATAAACTATGATATAAAGAACTGCATCAAGTTTTTTTTGCTTACACTGCACCATCATCATTAATAGTCCACTCCTGGTTTTTGTGTCAAGTTTTCCTTCTCTCTGCAGTGCTGTTGTCCCTACATGCAATTTAAGATTTCAGTTCTTAGAAATTTCGTAGTTTTAGTGATTATAGTGCGATATTGCTAAAATGGTAGGAAATCTCCGCAATGTTCACTATCACAAATGCCTTGTTGACGTGCCTAAACACAAAATTTGTATTGTGAAATAGATCGTATTTGTTAGAAGCTAAGATTGTTAATAGAAAAGTGTCCATGATGCCTTTATACTTATACCTATATGTGTAACTCCAATACTATGATTCACAGGGTGGGTATAGCTGATTATAATATTTTATTTAGAGTGTTAACATTCAGACAAATCAGACGCTAACTACAAATGGTTCAAAATAGTCATTATTATTACACAGTGAGTTTTTGCGGTTGACGTGTCTCATGCGTGTTATTAACTTACTTTTTTTTTAACTTCTAAAACCTATTGGGGTACGGCCAACACCGGGTGAGTAGAGCGAGAGAAGCGATGAAAGGTGTTTTTAGAGATTGTTTGATTGTTATTGCCAGTGCAAAATAAAAAATCGCCTGAAGTTGCTTTTCGGACAGAGGTTTAATTTTACTGCAATTTCCAGTTTCTTATATGACTTGAAGTGACCGGTCGATAATAAAATAGACCCCAAGACATATTAATCCCAGGGGAGAGGGGGTCGGGATTCCCTTTCTAGACATCACATCAGCAGCCTTTTTAGTCCACTGCTAGACATAGCTCTCCTTAGAAAGGAGGTTTTGGCCAACTATACTACGCTGGCCAGACGGGTTGGTATAGGGTTTTTTAAAGTTTTCTTTCTCTCTACAATGTTGTAGTCCTTCGTGGTTTGCTCCCTTAGTCGGCTCCATATCTAAAAGTACGGCAGTGTCTTGTGCCACGTACTAAGGCGTGTACTAAAGCATATGTGACTTAAGTACTTGTTGTTGTTGTTGTTGTAAGTATAAAAAAAAATCAAAAATTAATTTAAGTTTAAAAGCTTTTGTAACTAGTCTAACTAAAAAGTAAAAGTTGCACTTACAGAAATTTATTTTCTACAAAAGCGTTTTTTTTATGTTTTTGAACTATGATTGATTTTGACTAGGTTTAAACTTATTTATTTACTAACTACTTAAATATATTATGACATTTTATAAATAAAATTTAACTTTTCTATCGTGGGTCACTATCAAAGGATACGTTGCGCAGGACTTTACATTACTGATAATAACTCACTAAAGTCAGTAGGTAAATTATGTTATATGAGTCACACGGAGAGCTGAATTTGTGTGGCGATTGTTATATCAAATGACTGAATTAAGAATACAGTGTTAGTAGGACCAGCTTCTGATTCTTTATCGTTCTCGATTAGGTCATTGAAGATATCCTGACTAAATCTAAATAAATCTATGGCAATATTAAAAAAATGATTCCAATTCTTAGTGGTATTATTTAAATACTGGATTTAAGGATAAATAGGAAGTTTCTTTATATCTTATAATTTATTGATTATATCGTAACAGGGTTGGGTAATGTCATTTACTTGTGATTGAAAACTAATATCGTATATTATACTTACAAGTAATAGATATTTAAAATATATGCGAAAAATATATTTTGGCATTTGTATCTCAATAAAACCAATACAAATAAATATTCTCTTTCTTATTTCTTCTCTGGCTAGGGTAAGATGTTAATAACTGTAGGAATATGAAGGGGATCCGTTCTAAATAAAATAAAAATTGTTACATAAATATAAACAAGCGAAATATCTATTTTTTGTTATGTGTGTTTTGACAGCGGACTGTTAAACACGTTTGGAAAAAGTCACGAACGAATAAGTTGTAGAGCTTTCATAAACAGGAACCAAAACTATCAGAACAGTTACAGGCAAAATGAACGGCAGTTATAAAAAGAAGCTGGAAGGTCTCCAAGTGGTAAAAGTTTCGGAAGAGCCAGGACGGCGTTACGAGCTGGACGAGAAGGCGCTAGAGAGCATCCTGCTGCGGGATGATATACGCAACCTGCCCGTCGTCGTCGTCAGCGTCGCCGGTGCTTTCCGTGGTGGAAAGTCTTTCATCCTCGACTTTTTTCTTAGATACTTAAAAGCCCCGGTGGGTTGAAACTAAAACTTTTTATTTTTTTATTTTTACTAACTATTGCATTTTACCGTTGAGGTATAAGAAATTTATGTTACCCCATGGGGAAAATGGTCCCCATGTCGAATGGTTTACAAATGTGGATTGAAAACAGACATGTATTTTTAAATGTACATGTCTAAAATTTATAGTAGAATGTCTATTTTCATGCCTTCATAGAAATACATACATCCAACACTCGTAAAATTATTATCAGTAAACTTTGAGATTCTGCAAAGCACAGAAGAGTGTTTTGATTAAAATTTCTGAGATAAAACAAGAAATAAAAAATGTTTCTTAGAAGTCATAGTTTTTTCTGTACCGTATTTCATATACAAATTTTGTACAGCGTTGGAGTCAATTATCTAATGAATGGGTGGGCAGTGAGGACGAGCACTTGGAGGGATTCGACTGGCGTGGCGGTGGAGAGAGTAACACTAAAGGCATCCATCTGTGGCCAGAACCTATCGTTGTCACCATTGACCAAACTGGAGAGAAAGTACGTTGTCTTATAGTGTCTTGTTTAATGACAGATTCTGTCAGTGTTTTGTTCAGGTTCCGAAAATGTCCGAAATAGTTGGAAGTTTAAGCTCATCACATTTTCTATATCTTTCCTTAGACTTAAAGTTTTATCACTAACAGTGTAAACAGTCAAGTCGGTTACTTATTAAAGATTCATAGCTTAAATTATAGATGTCATGATATAATTATTTGATTAGTAAAAAGTATGTACGGAGTAGTTATTTCTCTTTCCAATATTGATAAAAGTAGAAAAAAAAGGAAATAAAATTTTATTTTTCCAATTGCATCCGTTTCAAACTTTCAATTTTAAAGATATCACGCATATCCATTATATAATACATTACTGCTGCATATGTATATGACATACGACATTGTTGGTAATTATTGTTTTTTTTTTTCATTTATATTGTTTATCGATAGATGGCAGTGCTACTGATGGACACTCAAGGTACATTTGACATGGAGAGTGATATGGGCGACAATTCTACCATTTTTGCGCTTGCCACACTGCTTTCCTCCGTGCAGATTTACAACCTTCGAGGAAACATCGGTGAAGACGATCTCCAACACTTACAAGTCAGTTTCTGATAAGCTATACTACGTAGCATTACATGCGTATTTTTTGTAATTCATTATCTGCGGGCCAAGTGCGAGTTTATTACACTTCTACCCGGTCGTCACGGTGACCGGCGCTACGTTTGGCCCGCACTGAAATCTCCACCAATCGCAACGCTAAACGCGCTCGCCGTCGAGAACGAGTCGATGTGAAATAAACTTGCACTCAGCCCTCTGTTCATCGTGTATTCGGCATACTGGCAACACAAAAGAAGTACTTAACTATATAATCTAAATTTGAAAATTAAGTTTTTAACCCATCTATACGAAAAGCTAACTGATTTAACTTTTTTAAGTCTCTCATATATAGTAAAGTTTGAATGATCTGTATCTCATTTCTCAAGTTGTACTATCTTTGTGATGAGAGAAATAAATACAATACTATTATTATTTTATAGGACTCAGCTGCTTCAAACTACGGCAGTATTAGTTCTGTTGCCTCTGTTTCTGTTCAGATCTCTGTTTGGCTAAGTTACGATTGAGTTCTTATTAACCCCTCATATTCCCCAGCCAACCACAGAGCGCGACTAGAAAGAGATAGAGGGGACTATCTATTATCCATCTCTCTCCTTACCTATATTGCAAGATTGGGGCTTATGTACTCTCTGGGTTATATCTCTGTGAACAATCCATTGATCCAATCATTAATCCATCCAGTTATCACACCTTTTATTTTATTAGCCCAATGTACCCTTTTCCTTTATCCCTTCTGAAAATGATTACCCATTGCAATTTTACGCAATCCATTGAACCCAAATAACATTGGGAAACGGATGAAAATATGATTATGGTGATGACTAAGGTTGTAGGTTCGATTTCCGTGTTTAGCTGTAACCCAATAATTTTATGTTTAAAGAATACCTTTGTGCCGTTGTCTCAACAGTTATTCACGCAGTATGGTAAATTGGCGTGCAACGCTGAAGGGAAGGCATTTCAAACTCTGCTCTTCCTCATTAGAGATTGGAGTAGCCCCTACGAGCACCCCTACGGCTACACTGGTGGTGAAGGCCTTATGAAGAAAAGATTCGAGGTAGATATAACTGAGTAAGATATTCGTACGTTCTGTTAGCACAGTCCACTTTTATTCGACTAGGGTAACATCCCGCTTCGATCTTTTTCACTTTTTGCCCCACACATTCAATCTGTGGAACGGGTTATCTCGTCTGCGGTATTTCCGGACCGATACGACCTTCAAACTTTCAAGAAAAGAGCGTACTCCTTCCTAAAAGGCCGGCAACGCGTTTGTGACTCCTGAGTTGCAGACGTTCATGGGCGGCGATAGACACTTTCCATCACCGAGGGTTCCGTACCTACCCAGATTTTACGTAGATTTTCGCGAAAATTTGTAAGTACCAAAATTTATCTTAATTTTCAACTTTTTTTTTTTGGAATTATTCCTTTATTTGTGCTGTAAGACGTTTCTTTTTGCCAAATTTCGTGATTCTAGGTCAACGGAAACTACCACATAGGTTTTCGACCCAAAACCTATAGGGTACTTCTGGTTGACCTAGAATTGACAATTTACGTTATTAGCAAGGTTTTATAGCACAAGTAAAGAGAAAAGTCTGAAAAATAAAAAAAGTCGAAAATCGAAATTTGCCTATATCTTTTTATTCTGTTGACTCAGGACCTTGATTTTTATACACCTAATAGGGACCATAGACCTCAGTATCTGGTATAAATTTCAACTTGCTAGATCTACCCGTTCCTGAGAAAATCGGTGGGGACACACGGACAGACGAACAAGAAAGTGATCTTATAAGGGTTCCTTTTTTACCTTTTGAAGTACGAAACCCTAAAAATAATTTGATTTTGTACAAGCTGAGGTTAAAAGTACGACAGCTAACTGCTAATAGGGCTTACATAGTTATTTAATTTATTATTGTTTTAGCCAAGACTAAATCAGAGGAAACAGCTACGAGAAGTGCGCGAGCACATTCATTCGTGCTTTGAAACTCTTAAATGTTTTTTAATGCCGCACCCAGGCCTTAAGGTCACTGACATACAGTTTAAGGGACGACTTTGTGGTGAGTATATCCTGGGACATATCATACACGACGCTATAAGCTATATTTAAGCTTGTGGTTTTGAATTTATATTTTTGAAGCAAGTCATATTTCTAACAACAATTTATTTCTTTTAAAAAGAGAACTCCCGCATTAGTAATATATCCTGTGTTGCGCGGGACTTTACAAACATACATGACACGGACACAAAGAACACCCAGACTCAGAACAACAATTTGTGGATTACACAAAGTGACGTCCGTTGTAGGGATCGGACCCACAACACACAGCGTAGTAGTAAGCAGCGTGGCGACCGCTTAAACCACTACGCCATCCGTGCAGTTAAAATCTATCAAATCTATCCTGCCATTATGTAAATCAACATATGTCCTTACAGATATTGATGAGAAGTTCAGAGTATCACTCTTAGAACTAATTCCTTCATTGTTCGACCATGAACATTTGACTTCAAAGACCATTAATGGAAATAAAGTAAGCACAAAGGGACTTCTTGAGTTCTTTAAGCAGTACGTCGATATTTTCAACAGTGACGAGTTGCCGGAAGCTACCACCATTTACCAGGTTTGTTATTTTGTCTTTCTTATTAGAATCTAAAGTAAGAAATAAAGTACATGCAAAATTTATTTCTAATTTTGACAAATATTTTGTGTTACAAAGATCGTTTAATGACGAAATTTAAAGGAATGCAACTCATAAATTTAAAAAAGTTTCGAAACGCAAAACTCTTGTGATGCTTTTGCAGCCTCTTAAAGTATTTCTGTTCAATTATTTAGGCAACAGTGGACGCCTGTATGATGACAATCCTCCGAGAGTCTCGAGAATACTACGAGAGTAAGATGGATTCCAACATCATTGAAGATCAAAGTGTGACAGAAAATACTATACAAGAATGGCATAACGCTGCTATTGCAGAGGCCATTGCTCTCTTTGAGAGGAAAAAGAAGCTTGGTACCCAGGATGATATCGAAGCTCGTCGGTCGGATCTCCAAAAGGTTTGGCCATCAAATATTTTCAAATTAGGATCACCTATATATTTTTCCATATATTCTTAACTGTTGACCATAGTTGTTGTTGTATGTTTTATCATTCATACATGTCCGTGATACAGGATGCGTGCGGGGGTTGTCTTTAAAAATACTGGGGAGTATTAGACGATAAATCCGATTTATATTTGATTCCTGTGTTGTGGAATTGTCCGGTAAATAGCTAAAGTCTGATAAATTTTCAATTAAATAAGATATTTTAAGAAGGAAATTTTAATAAAAAAGGTTTCTGACTATCACTATTGACTAAATGGCCCAAAAATACAGTCCTGTCTTCTGGTACTTTGTCTGAATTTCTTATATTATTTAGAATTACTCACTCAACGGACAACCGACCGTCTTTTCCTAAGCAGTATTACACATCAACAGCCTATACTAGTCCACTGCTGGACATAGGTCTCCTTAGAAAGGAGCAGTATTACAATAACAATATATTATATTTAGTAGTGAACGTCTTTAGGATGAATAATAAACATTGATTTAAGATCTATATGTAAAGGGTGGTGTAACTACTTACAAAAATAAATTTATCTACGTATGTTCATCTGCATTCTAGATAGAGTTCATGGAACAAGCTCTTAATAAAATTATTATTTTTATTAAATCATTTTTAGGAGTTAGAGGATCGGCTGAACCCGTATCTCTGGCAGAATGATACCAAACTGAAAGATGCACTGTCGAATGCTAAGAAAGCGTTTGAGAACATAATATCTGACGCGTGTAAGGATCAGGCCCGCCTATGTCTTCATGTGAAGGACTTATACGCCCTTTATTTCGAAGCGGTGCCGATTGGACTAGCCCTTTTTGACTGTACCAGGACAGCGGTACCGCAGGAGCTAGATGAAGAAAGAAAAGATTTAGTTAAGGTAATGGCCTTGACATGATTGTGTTCAACGTCAAGTCGACAATTCTTCAAACACTACTGGTACTCCGTTAGAGCTAACAGGGTTATTTTATTTATTCGTTATTAGGTAAATATTTTTTAGGTAATAAAAACTTACTACCTAAGAGACACTGACCCAATGAATTGCATTTTATTCTTCTTCTTCTAAATTACACTGTATAAAAAAAAACAAAATTACCTAAAATAGATACAGTTTCACAGACTACGAAATCAAAATGCGACTAAGATTATTTTAAAGAAAACAATGGCAATTCTACTCGTATATCTATTTAATTTTCTATTTAGTTATTAATCGCGGAACACCTTATCCGATTAGTTTTATCTCAGTTTATGAGATATATCATCTCCCATTAATTTAAAGGTCCTTAGCAGTGATATAATATATTATAAGTAATCTGGAGATCAAATAGGAGTATATATTTTTAATTTCAGTATTTTGAAAATCTTTACGAAAAAATGTGCGCTGTGAACGAGCAGAATAACAGGAGTGCTATACTAGAAGCTCGTGAAATATATCTGTTGCGTATGAACAACGGCTTCATGCAACAAGAATTTAGCTCCGATGAACTTCTGCGACAACACGAGGAGGCTTTGAATCTAGCAACCAATCATTTCCATTCGCTTCGTAATCGACCCACACAGGAATCTGAAGACGCTCACTTGGAGCAGCTGTTACAAGTACGTGGTTTTTTGCAATTAATGAGTTGATAAGTTTAGGCCCACGACTTCTATTTATATATTTTGTTGATTCAAGGCATTTCCGCTTATCAACTTCGACAAAGATAAAACATTGCAGACTTTTTACTGGGATAATGTTCACGTTTAGCATTGTACTCTAACTTCGTTTAACTGCAGTATTTTTACATACTTACTTGTTAATATTTCTTTGTTCTCATGAAGTTGTAAATATTTTTCGTCATATTGAGGTTTGTTTAATGTAATGTCATTTTTATATTCAGAGTTCGGCGGAGCATTATAAAAACTTGTGCTCTGTGTATGAGCACAGAAAAGCTGCACTTGAGGATCAAGAGCTACTGAAACAAGCTGCACGTGAAGCTCATGAGCTGCACATGTCACAGCTGAGGGAAATCACCGACAGAATGAGTAGGATTGAGGCCGAATCTCGCCGCCACCGCAATGATTGTGCAATACTCTAGTACATTAAATGTAATCTAAACTTATCAAGTAATTGTTTTATTTCAAACGATACAGTCATACACTCACGCGTGTAACTTCTAAGGATTACACAGAAGCGTATTAATTGTAAAGTCACGAAAAACTACTTTACTGACTGGATGTGTATACAATAACGATTTAATTTCAATTAATATTAAATTATATTAATTGAAATTAAATCATATATAATCCTATAATATTGAGCTCAACATCTCGACTTTTGTCGGTTTTATAAATACCCCGTCCCGTAACACACGGGAAAAAAGATATCTATGTCCCCAATAACTTCAAATTGATAAAGTTAATAAGAATTATGAGAATTATTTACTGTAATTTAATTTTTAATGTGTAGTTTGATTGTATGAGAGGATCCTAACTAGTGTGTGTCTGTCGTGTGGTGCGTGTTATTTGCGGCCCTACTCCTTCCTCGTCCTCGTCCTCTCCCTCTTACCCGTCGTACGCTTAATGTATGTTGTGTGTCCAGAGTATGTGCTATGTTGAGTGGGTCTAGAGTGTCTGAGGATTGCGCTTTGTCTGGCGATTGCTGCGAGCCCTGTGGTTGTGGGTCCTGTGACTGATGCGTGTTTTGCGATTCCTGGGTGTTTTGTGTATGTTGGTCCTGTGTGCTGTGTATGAATACCGTATCTCCCAAAACTTTACTGAGTATGGTCACTGTGTGTATGGCTGCTTGTTTTTGAAGGATGGTTATGTCGATGTTGGCTCCTAATTTATCTATGTATTTCTTTATGCTTTTAGCGACTATGCCAGTTGCGCCTATAACTATCGGAATGACAGTCGTTTGTGTATTCCACAGGCGGGTGACTTCAGTTTTCAACAAGTGGTATTTGCTCAATTTCTCAATCTCCTTAGCGCCTATATTATAGTCGGATGGTACGGTAATGTCTATTAAATATGTTTTATTGCTACTTTTGTCGATATATATAAGGTCAGGTCTATTGTGCGTTACGGTGATATCTGTTTGTACGGGCATTTCCCAAAGGATTTTAGTGGATTCATTTTCTTTGACTTGTGGTTGTATGAGTGTTTCTTTCCACCAAAGGTCAGATATTTCTATTTTGTGTTTTTTGGCCAGACACCAGTAGACGTATTGGACAAGGTTATTATGTCGTTTAACATAATAGGTCCCCGCCAGTTTTTCGCATCCTGATATGATATGCTGAGTGGTCTCATCCTTGCAGGCACATATGCGACATTTTCCGTCTACTGATTCTTTCAGTATATCGCGCTGATGCTGTCGGGTCATGATGGCTTGGTCTTGTATGGCAAATAATGATGATTCTAATTTGGGCGATATCTGTTGTTTCTTAATCCATTTAAACGAAAGCTCTGCATCTATGTTGGCTTGATTTCCGGGCAATTTCCGCATAAAGTACTTGTACTTTATGCGGAAATTGCCCGTGTAACTGCTTACTTCTCCACACTGCATTGTGAGTTTTAATAATCGCTTTCTTAATTTCTTCATCTGTGTGTGTGTTACCCACTGTTAAATGTAGTTCTTTTTCTATTTCTTGTGCTTCCTTAATGATTGAGTATTTATCTCTATGTGAGTCATGTTGTACTATTGCTTGAATAAGATGATCTCTTTCTGTTTTTAAGTATTGCTTATATTTAACTACCTGTGTTTTATACATATACTCTACGTTTATAAGACCCCTCCCTCCTTCTGTAAACGGTAAGTATAGTCGCTTTACTTCTGCCTTTTGTTGGTGTGCCTTGTTCATTGCCAATAGTTTTCTTGTTTTGACATCTACTTTCTTAAGATCACTAATTTTGTAATTGATAACACCAAACGAATATAGTAGCACCGGAATAGCATATGTGTTTATACCTTTTACTATTGAACGTGAATTGAGATGTGTATTTAGCAGCTTTTTAATCCTTTTAAAATATTCTTTCGTTATTTGATCCCTAATTATACTATGTTCTATCTTGCCTGATTCATGTATTCCTAAATATTTATATCTATCTCCTATTGCAAGTTCTTGAAACTTTTCTCCACTTAATAGAATATGGCCTTCTCCTCTTACACTACTCCTATGGCCTGATCTAATATGTATTACATTACATTTATCCAACCCGAAGCTCATCCCTATGTCTCTTGTAAATATCTCTACGCTATCCAATAATATTTTCAGGTTACTTCCATTATTTGCATAAATCTTAAGGTCATCCATGTACATTAAATGATTTATCCAGAAACTATCTTTAAGTTTATATCCCTTCATTTCATATTTATTCAGTATAAATGACAAAGGGTAGGTTAGGCTAGGCAAAATAATAACGGTGATAGGGAATCGCCTTGGAAAATGCCGCGTTTGATGGTGATCGGTTCAGTAGTTATTGAATCTTGGGAGCCACGGGCTGTCATGATCACCCTCCACGAAGGCATAACTAGCTTAAGGAACCTTTTTATGATAGATGGACATTTATAGACATCAAGTATTTTTAGAAGCCATTCATGCGATACGCTGTCGAAGGCTTTTTGATAGTCTATCCACGCCATGCTTAGGTTCTTTTGGGTTTGGTGTGCATCCTCTAATATAGCTTTGTTAACCATAAGGTGATCCTTACATCCCCTGGTACCGCGGCGACATCCCCGTTGTTCTACTGCCATTATGTTGTTTTGATCACAGTGACTATACAGTATGTTGGCTAATACGGACGTTAATAATTTGTAAATACTTGGTAAGCATGCTATCGGTCTCCAGTTTTTCGGTTCCTCTGTATTTTCATTTTTAGGGATTAATATAACCTTGCCTGTAGTAAACCAATCTTCTAATGCCTCTGTCCCTGCAACTATATTTGTAAATAATGAACTCAGAAATGGGTGGATACTGGTAAAATATTTCAAGTAGTAATTTTGTATTTTATCTATGCCTGGTGCTTTCCAGTTTTGTAGTTTTCTGATGGCTGATTTAACTTCATCTTCTGCAATCTCTTCTAAATCTATTGTACTTACCTCACTTGTCAACGTTTCTATCTCCTTGATCCACTTAGCTTCAGTATTGTATTGTGAAGGCTTTGATAATATTGAAGTCCAGAATTCTTCAACTCCTTCTCTATTTGGTATTTTAATATCTTTACTAGTATTCCTGTTGCCTAAAGTTTTGTAAAATCTATGTTCGTTTTCCTTAAATAAACTGTTCTGTTCTTTTCTACTGTTAATATCATCATATCGTTTGATTCTACCTGCTAGTGCTTTTATTTTTTGCTTAAGTATTTCTGCTGCATTTTGTTGATCATTTTCATTTTTTATATTATATTTACTATATAGTTTTTCTTTGATATTCCTCATTCTTCGAGTAGAGATCCCTCTTTCTATTTCTATTAACTGACCTAATTCTTTCCTAAATTTTTCTATTTTATTTCTTATTCTCTTTTTCCACGGTGGATCGTATTTTGGTTTTATAGCGTGTGTGGGTGTGTATGGTGTTTGGTTATTGTTTAGTATTAGAGTCTTAGCGGCTGCATAGATTATGTTATTTATTTCGCGTAGACTAGTGTTAGTAACTAATAGGTTAGGTAAAAATTTGCAAAGCGTGTTCAGATTTTGGATGAATTGTTTATTTATTTTAGCTTTTGGTAAAAGTAAGCGTTCTGTAAGTGGAGTCTCTTTTGTTTCAGCTAATATTTGAAGGTAGTGTAATACTAATGGGTCCTGATCGTCGTTTACTTCTATGTTGTTTGTTAACTGATCTATTGCTTCTGTTTGTTCTGAAGAGTATTGTGTATGTGGTATGGCTTGTTGTGTGTTGTGTATTGATGATGGTGTTTCATGTCGTTCTTGGGTTGCATGTGAAATATGTTCAGGATTCTCAGTAACTATGTTTCCTTCTGCTTGTTTTTGTATTAAGTCAAGTAACTCTTGTGATATGACATTCTGTTTTATTACCCTGCGAGCTTGATTAGACAAAGTGTTACCGTTAAACTTATGAATTTTATCGTTATTAGGGTTCCTCTCTGTATAAAGTGTCTGGAGTCGGCCTATGTATCCTGGTCCTTCTGATCGTGCTTTGAAATAACAAAACATTAATTCTTTTAATTCTTCTGTTGACCACTTTCTTCTTCTATCGTCGCTTATTGCATTATTTGTGGTCGTTGTAGATGAGCCGACAGAGTCTACGGGCGAAACCCTACTCTGCAAAACATCATCCGCGCCCTCCCCTCCCCGTTGTTCGGCTGTGACATTTTCGAGATCCCCGACTCTCGCCCGCCTGTTCAGCAAAGAGCCACTGGTGGTCCGTATGCTGTCACGTCCAGCACCAGCTCCAGACGTGCCCCGGCGATCACCCCCGGGCAGCGACCCTATACGTATTCCAATATTAAAATTCTCCATGATGAATGGGTTACCTTTACCTCGTTAGCCGCGGCTAACGAGGTAAAGGTAAAGGTAAAGTTTCATTAGTACGCGTGTCCGCCCCCCGCGTGATCTGGTGTTCGATACGGACGCAAGGTAGGATTTTGGGGGGCATAATCCTATAATTAAATATCAAAAATTATTATATTTTCTTAATGCAGCCTTCTGCTATTAGAACATAATAAAAATAATGCATAGGGGTGGAAACTTTAGAAACATTGTCAAATGTACACTTAGGCACTATGAGAAGTAAAAATGGGACAATAAACATATAGCAGGGTATGATAGGCAAGAAGGGAAGGAAGGAAAAGGATATTTGGAAAATGTAATAACTCGAGCTCTTTTTCCATGTGGTGACGGTAATACAGAGTATCCCCACTCTTACTTGATCCCATGGGTGTCGTAATAGCCGACTAAGGGAGTAAACTACGCTGGAAAGAGAAGGAAAACTTGACACAAACCCTATACCAACCCGTTTCGCAAGCGTGGTATAGTAGGCCAAAACCTCGTTTAAGGGGGGCTTATGTCCAGCAGTACAATATTGAAAGATGTTGATTTATAATGTCAAGAGCTCAAGCACCAAGCTCACCCTAGCAGAAGCAG